TCTCCCCTACTGGATGATGAGCCATATTATAAAACACACACCGTTTAACATGCCTGTGTCCATTAAGCTGGTGTTAAGAGTCTTAAACATGTTTGTTGAATGAATGATCCAGCTATAACACTTGGCCAGATACTCATGTGCCTGGTTTAATTTCAATGTCTGTGCTTTGGTATGGGGAATTAAAACACAACCGAATTATCCCATTTAGATGGATAAAGTCAAAGCCCAAGGAATGGGCACTGGGATAGAAGGGTAGTGGACACGCAATGTGGGAAACGTGGAGTACATTCAAGTGAAAATTAAAGGCTAGAAACCCAGCTACTTTGAGTTCCTCCTTGCAAGTCAGAAGTAAAACAAGCTTGCAGCACCATCAGGATGTTTCCGTCATATCCGCAAGTCGTGTGTCTATTTTTTAAAGTTTCTTACATGGCTTTTTTCTTTTTAGAGTTTTTTTTTTCACCCCACCCCCCACCCCTTTAAAGCTTTTTAAAGAAAATCGGCTACACAGTATGAAACTGCCGTTCCATCTCTATCTTATTGTGCCCTGCTGGTAGCTGGGGCACTCACAGTGTCCAGGAAAGACTCACCTTGGACAGAGGTTTGATGTGCAAAGTCAAGGAGTTTTCAAGCCTGAGTCAGAAAGAAATTAGGTTAGGAGATAAGCAGGCTTCCCTTTGTAGCTGTTTATATTGTCTGAGTTCTCCCCTCCCCACCCCCTTCTTTACCCATGAGGATGCAATACTGTGTAAAAGTTTCTGGCTGAAATGGAAACTCAGGTCTGTTAAAGACATAATCAAATGATTGGTATCGAACCGTATTTTGTCCTTCCGCTAACAGGGCAAACTATCCTTTCAGACTCGCATGAACCAAACAGACGCGGAGAGACCTTTCTGCGGCCTGTGTGCGGCTGGCTGTGAGTTGGAACTGACTCATGGCAGTGAGTGTTAACTGAGAATGTTCTAACAGTTGGCGTGTCGGTTTGGAAATATTTAGCTTCTCTTCTATAGAGAGCCTTTTATTAAATCGTAACAGGACAAAAACAAAAGAATCATCCAAGAATGTATCAGCATGGTGCCAAGATGAGGCCAAAGAATTCACGGCCATGGAGCCAATTAGGATGAAAGAAAATACAGGAATCATCACAAACAAGTTCATCACTGTTGCAGGCTGGGCGTGCAGGGTGGCGAGGAGGGCCATGATTGTGATTTGTACACAATTACATACTTAAATAGCTTACAGGTTTGGTCTGGCTTTGCCCCCCATGCTGCCCTCAGTTATAGTACTAGTACTATAACATTTAGATGACGTGCATCTGTAAATCACTCAGGACAGACCCAGTCAAGTCTCCTGAGGGCAAGACTTCCCATCTCTGAGTTGGCCCAGGAGTTGTAATCTCCTTTGAAACACAGTTACATAACTGGGTAAGAGTCAGAAAACAGGAATCTTAAATTTATGCTGATACTCAAAACAAGAATTAGGACTCTACTGTCAACTACAGGTTTCCCACTAACCAAGTGCTTTAGATTTAAACCTGTAACACATTCTCTAAGGTAGTGCAGCATGTTATGCATTAGGCTGCTAACCACAAGGTTGAGCTGGTGCTTCAAACCCAACATCTGTTCCTAGGGAGAAAGATGAGGCTAGGCTTCGTTTTTTATTGTTTTTTTTTTTTTTTAAGATTTAGTCTTAGAAACCCAGTGGAGCAGTTCTATTCTGTCCACTTGATGGTAGTGGGTTTAATAGGTCCCCTCCTCTGATTACGGTTTTACTAAAAATCGTTTGATCACATGTGGTGCTTTCTTTTGTATGGTCTGATGACTTCTTTAAAGGGCTGCTTCTTGTGGGTCAAATCTTTTAAGACCCCCACACACTGTACTTTTTGATAGCGGGCACTATCTGATGGAAGCATTTAGGTTTAAACTCAGCAAATATTTCAAAGTAACCTCTCATGGCCAACCGATGTCAAGACTTGCGGTACACAGTTTCACATAGTGTAAGACAGTGGTCCAGGGCAAACTACTACTGGACAGAAAAGGGAGCTCCAAAGAGTCACCATGCATGGACAGGGAGTCGAGTGTGACAAATCAGTGCTGGCTGGGACAACCGGTTACAATTAGCGATCAAAATAAAACAACATCTCAATTTCACGTCACACACCAAAATAAGTTCTGCAAGCCCAACTCTTAGAACTTTGAAAGAAAAAATATTTTTTTAATATAGGGAAGACTTCTATACAAGACAGGGAAGGCACAAATTATATAGCTAAAGATTGAGAAATTAAACTAGGCTGAAACAAAGCACTTACCAAATACAAACTCAATTTAAAAACCAGAAACTGAGACAGAGATGGCTGAAATTTGTGATGGACAAGTGCTAAAAATCTACATATACGTGTAAATATACATATGTGTATGCATGTAATATACTAAATGTAGCTATCTCCTCTCACCCCACAGAAAGAGGGCAGAGGATATACAGTTGAGGAAATTCTGGTTAATAAGGAATAAAGGTGCTCAATTTCACTAGCCACTATGGAAATGCACATAATATGACGTACACCAGATGGCAGATAATCTGACAGACAATACCAAGCAATCAGATAGGATATCAATAAAAGTTTAAATTGGCCATACCATCTTGGAGAACAATTCGTAACTAAAAGACATGAATAAAATAAATATGAGTATCTTCCAACCTAGCAATTATTATTATTTTCATTAGGGGCTCTTACAAATCTTCTAACCCAACCAACATTTGTATTCCTAGAAGTAAATCCTGGATAGCTCTTACAATGGGTCCCTGGGTTGTTTGGAGGAGCGAAAACCTGGAAACTACTTGTGTGTTCACCCACCGACTAGAGGGGGAGAAATACCTTATTTATTTAGTGGGGGGGGGGATCTGGTTCACAAAATCATCAATACCAGATAACATCACATGCCTCCCCAAAGAGAAGCCCTCAGATAACACGTTAGGGGTGAATTAAATGTTTGAGCAGTTGGGCCTGTGATTGATGTTACAAGTATCCAAATGGCCCAGAAACAGGTTCCTTACCCTTGGTTTAGATGTTTCAACATGGGCAAAACTTAATGATGGTCTAACATGGCAAGTTAGAAAAAAAATACACCAGGCACAGAAATGTGGCAAGTAACATTAGCTCTTCTTGATACATGACAGTAAAAATAACAGAACTTCATGGGAATGGTCTTGCATTTGGCGGTGCTAATGCTGGGAGAAAGATGGTGGCATGGATGTGGGTGGACAAGTTTAAAATCCAATCTGTAATTAAAACATCTGAGAAAACTGATGGGAATTGCAGGTGTCTTTTTATTATGTTATACAACTTTATGTTTGACACACATTAACCCCCAAACCAGACTGGTTGTTGAAGAAAAATATATACACAGCTAGGTTGGTGATTTTTACAGATAAGGATGTAAGAGTCTTTTAACTTCCCAGTTGTAGGGATTCCAGTCATAAGTGGTTTAAATGGTTCAATAAAAATATGAGTCCTGTTTATAAGGGGGCAGAGGGATGAGAAAAGGGAAGGGGGGAGAGGGATGAGAAAAGTAACACCACCCCCCACCCCAGCTCTATGAGGGGGCATTAGTTAAGTGGTTGTTACATATACACGGTGCCCTCCATTTGGCCACGGGAGTTTGGATGGGTGATGTGTAAGGGACCTATCAGTACTTGGGGGAAAGGAGCAGCTCAGGAGGAGTGAAGCTTCAGCGTGACCACACAGGTTGATGGCCTGTGAGGCAAACAGGCTGGTCCCATCAGACAACTGTCACTCTCTTGGTTTCAGTACAGGGACAGTGAGAATTTTGAAAGGCCACTACGGAGGTGAGAAAACTGTTGAAAACGGAGCTCCGGTTTGCTCAAGGATCCACCTATTGGAGTATCAGCTCTCGTGGAATTCCTAGATGGGGCTTAGTCCATATGCCGCCCAGGAGCTCCCAGCTTTCTCTGTATTTCTTCCACTCTAAGGTTCCATCGGCTGGAAGGGAAGGAATGCTTTCACCGGTGGCAAAGTGTCAGAAAGCACCACGTATTAGAGCCCATGAGATACAGTGGCATCATCCTCCTGAGCTTGGGGAGACAAGTGGGAAACACTTGGCCTCCATCTCCCAGAGCTCCTCCGTCCACATGGCTGCACGTGTCCTTGTTCTGCACCCAAGTGCAGGGGACATTTACTCAGACGGGCGCTTCCCCTGCGCCTTGTGCCAACTGCAACTTATTATTAGAAAGAGGAAAACATTAAGAGCTCATTTGTATTTTAGAAGTTAATGGCGAGAGGCAAATGTAGTTAACAAAATAATCCTACGCAGTCTTTATTTTTATGTAATTTATTTCAATAGAAATGTCAGAAATTTGTACTTAAATTCATTTTATGTTAGCTTATGCAAACACACTAAAGACCACACACTCATATTTGCATATTACAAAGAAAAACAACAACAAAAAGGTGAGAGGAAGCACGCTGCACATCACTCGCCAAGGTCATTGTGCAGTGGAGTGCTTCGCCAGGGGTACCTCGAGTTTGTGGGTCAAAGGAATAAAAATGGCTTGTGTTTTCCTGGAGAATGATCATCATTGGGTAGCCGCCCCAGAGATGTGACTTCCATTAACTCACACTGGGGACCAGTCCCCACCCCGTGAAGGTGGGTTGTGTAAAACCATGAGCTGGTTGATGGTAAGGGCGTGAGACACTCTTCAGAGCCTGTGACTTATTACCAGCCATACCCAGTCAGTCATTACTGAACTATATTGATGACGAGTTCTAGTGGGCGTTACCTCCAGAGGAAGGGGGGAAGGGTTAATGTTGTTACGTGTTAGATATAAAGCACAATTCATATTCATAAAGTTTTCAGCTTATTGGGTGTGTGTGTGTGTGTGTGTGTGTTCCGTCCCAAAGTACTCTGTACCTTTAATTCCATCCCCCCTCTGCAGCTCAACTGGCTAGAAGAAAACCTAACTCCTGCTAGCAAGCCTCCAGGGGCAGTCCTCCCTCCCTCCGGGCGTCTGGACCGTTGCCTAGCCTGCCTCTAGCACACAGCAGCCCTTTAAGCAGTGTGAAAATAGCACGTCGACTCAGTCACACAGGAGTTCCAGGGCGTGCAACGATAAGAAGGCTTCGCAAGCTTTGCTTTCACAGAGGACGCTAACTTGGGCTCCAACTCCCCTTTAGTTTATACGTTGGCATTATTTTCACTTTCCTGCCACCGTCAAGTCAACAGTAGCTGGCAGGTTAAGTGATGACTGGTTTGTTCTGAGTTTTACTTGATGTTAGGAATGAACCCAAACAGCCAAATCTCAACGCCAGCCCCAGGGGCGCTCAGCATAAGAGAACCCCCACACCCATGTGGAGCAGTATCTTAATCTGGCACAGACGTCTGATGACGCCCTCTCTGTAGAACAAGTGGCTTCCCAGCGAGCTGTCTCAAGGTTGATGCGGTGGGTTCAGTTTTAATGTCCGACCCTGGGGGGGAGAGGGGAAGGGAGGGAGGGAGCTTGTCCATAGTCCACACCAAGAAGGGCACCAGCAATGGCCTGGCAGATGGAGTTGTGCAGCTTTCTTGCACCTGCTGCGAGAAAGACGAAGCTGGTGGCAAGAGGGCCGCACACATGTCTGAAGAGGAGCCCGAGGGGCCAAAGATGATTGTCATCCAAGACACCCTGGGATTGGTCTTCAAAAGGATAAGGCACTGACCAAGTGTTCCCCACAGCGCACCTGGAGACACTGATGGGATGGGATTGCTGCCCACAGGCTCAGCTTGGCCCACCCAAGTCTCTCGGAACAGAAAACAATCATCTGAGACACAAGCCATTTTTAGGGGCTCAAAACCAGAAAGGACTTAAATTACCTCAAGAAGGCCATCTTCACACAGAAAAGAATTCATCATCAACATGGCTTAATAAGTAACTTAAAAAATCCTCCAGGTTAGGGAAAAACCAGAATACCCCCTGGCTGGAGAGTCTGCTGTTTGAGAGAGATCGTACCAAAGAGTGGGTGGGAGGGGCGTTTAAAAGCAAACCTCAACGGCACTGGAGAAGCCAACCAGGCATCACCATCTGCTCTGTGAGCTTCATGCAATGGACCCCATCACCACAACCCCCACCCCCCTCCACCCTCAAGGAGGGACCCAGTGATTTCAAGAGGCTTTTCAGCAGAGGATTTCTTTCATCAGGGAATCTCTTCTGCTAACCCACACTAGTTCCTCTTGCGCCCGTAGAGAAGATGGTGGTTTACTAACTGGCGTATGGCTCAAAACAGGCTGGAAGTGAAGAGTGGACATACCCTCTTAAAAACTTAAGGAAGTTAATTTACTATGACTACTGGTTTCCAATTTAATGATGTTTGCCCTACAGTTTTGTTTCTGGTAGTAATGGTATATAATTGATAGATTTAACCTAGCACAAACAAACAACAACAACAACAACAAAACCAACCAAGAAAGGAGAGAGAAGAAATACTTATGCCCATGGTGAGTTCTAATGATTATTCCCCGAGGCCAACAGGCTGCCCTCACAGATAGAGTGCTTTCGTTACAGACTGTAAACATTTTCCACAGTGCTTCTAGGGCGCCCCCACACTGCCCCCCAAACAACTGTCTTGAAGAGGAATAAACCCAGTTATAAAACCTTTGCAGTTATAAACATCTTGACTCTTGATATTAAGACCTGATACAAACAAATTAGTGCAACTAGTCATATGACATTATCTACCCATTGAAGCACAGGCCTATGGGGGGAGAAAGAACCCCCACCCCCAATCGAATGGCCTGGATCTCTTTTTCTGTTCGTGGTCATACGACTAACATTTACATAGTTAAGAAAGCAAAATCAGGAGGTGTGTTTGACCAGTTCTCTTTCAATCCTTACAGGTAGGAGGTTCCGGTAAAGTTACACTCTGAACAACAAGCAGAGCCTGAGCACGCAGGGGGCGGTAGAGAGCACAACAGCTCCATGTCCCCAGAGCTGTAGCTTCTTTCAAATGAGTCACAAGCCTCCAGGTTCAAATAAACTGTTAAAGGAGATGTTCTTCAAACTGCATTCTGGCTCCAATCCTACTGGCTCCAGACCTTTCACATGCCAGGCCTCAGCCATGTCACAAACCAGGTTAGATTTAAGGTGCAGTTGGCTTCTAAGTAGTTCTACTTGGCTAGGTGAAAAACAAATTGAGCTTATTTTTGATGGATATTTTTTGAGCTTTTGAGCCACTAATTTACAATGGAGGTAGAAGCTTACTAAGAGGGGTGAATAATCATCTTCCCACTACAATTTTCACCTCAATATTTAACACATTTTGGTAATAATATATTTTCTTTGTCTGAACCACCAGATGTCATTTGGTGAACTGCACATAAGACGTTCACCGACACAGTTTTGACTTTCACTTTGCTCCCAGGTTTCAATTTGTTTTAAATACGACATATGGTCTTCTTTAGAAGCAGTGCCGGAGCTTTCGAATGGACACATTTGAAGGTCGAAAACTGATGACCCCCACTGCACCATTACATTAGCTAGGAGTTACCAGGCACCCAAAGGCCACGTCTGTCTACAGAGCTCGACTAGGCAAGCACCCATGAGCTGGAGGAGAGAGGGGTGGGGGTCACACACACCTTCCAGCTTAGCTCTCCCTCTCCCTCTCTCTTTGGCAACAGTTGGTGTCAGGCTTTGGCTTTCAGTTGCACCCTCTACAGAAGGGGTTAACCTCGAACCCACCCATGCTAGCTTATTGATGGCTATGTCATTTAAAATCCACAGGGTTCTCATCCACAGTATTCTCTTTTTGAAAAACAAAAACATGTACTCTGTTAAGATGCTTATTTCGTTAGAGAAATAAACAGATCAAGGAATTAAAACAAAACAAGACAAAGTTCAGATGTGCAAGGTCCACAGCACAGTAATACTGCTGGCTGAGCAGACAGGGTCCTGTGTCCACCCCAGGTGGGTGCAGCTCGAGAAGGGAAAAAGAGCACTCAGCCCGGCTAGCTTTCTGCCCTCTCCCAGCTGCCGTGTCCCGCCGTCACTTCCTAAAGAGCCAGAAGCCATGGCATTTCCAAAGCACCCCAACTCTGCTTACACCTTCTCCAAGCAGAAAACTTCAAAAGCTAACACCCACACCAACCAAAAGACTCTTCTGCTTTCCTTACAATGGGCTTTTAGCTAATCTTCTTATATAGGTAATATTTTCCATCACGTTTCAGAGGCAAGGGCAAAATACTTGTGATTTAAAAAAGTATAAAATTCTCCAACAATATAAATGTGAGGAAACCTCTTTTTACAAGCGGCACGAGGTGTTTTAGACAGTATCAGTCAAAAAGCCTTCTTCCTCTGGGCCACCGCTAACATTGGTCTGACTGATGCTCCCGGGTCTGCAGCATCCACCCACCACCTGGACCCTGTGCCAGAGCCATTTTTGGTTCAAAGTGCCCAGCACCTCGCCTTCAGGCGGTGGTGGGGTTGTTCATGGTTTGGTAGTTTTGGAAATGAAAATACACTATTGCATAGATGAGCTCTCACATACCTGCTTGCTCAACGACTGACAAGAGCTATGGTTTCATGGCAGGGATCTGTAGCAGGCTTTCTGGAAAATGCTTTGCTTTGAAGCTAGCTAAGGAGGAAAGTTTCCATACTTAAAATTCCTAGAATTTCAAGCTCTCCGCTTTTAAAAATTGTTCTGTATGTCTTATGACAAAATACATATATACGTATATATATACATACACACACGTGGAATCTCTTTCAAGCAAATGTGATCCTGTCATCTCATAGCAAACAAAAATAAAAAAACTAATAATAATAAAAAATACCTCTGGCATTATGCACACTGAACACTGTGAAAGAAAATATACTGGAAAAAATGTCAACATCTCATCCTTGATGATAAAAATCACCAGTGATGGAGAGAGAGGACCTCACCCAATGCACGTGAAGAGTAGAATTTCCCCTAAGGTCACCCAGCGAAGCTGAGGTGTGGCTGACGGTCCTCCCTGGAAAGCCCGGCTGTGGTCCAACAGTGACTTCCCTACAGGATGGTGCTCCGCGCCCAGCCAGGAGCCATCGTGCTGTGTCTGCCACGGGAACACAGCCTTCATCCTTCTCGCAGAAAACAACGGGTCCCGCGCTCCCCACCCACCAAGAAATTTCAGTTTAGTGTTAAAAAGAAAAACAAAACTAAACCAAGCTACACTAAACTCCTCCTGCCCCAAACAAAGTAAATAACAAAGCAGAAACAACAACAACAGAAAAACCGGCCCGATTCATCTGATCATCTTTTCTAAATTCCCACACTTGAGCTGTGAGAAAGTGGGTGAGGCTTTGGGCCAGCGGAAGTGCAGTACAACCTTCACGCGGGTTGCTGGTGGAATTCCTACCACGCCAAATATCTTTAACAGCTCGGTTCAAAACCAGCGCCTGATGTAGCCCAGGTGTTTTTTTGTTTTTTGTTTCCCCCCTTCCCCTTTTAAAGTGTATCTAAAAAAAGGTGATTGCCCCCTCCAAAATGAGTACAAAGTTAAAGGAAACACAAACTAGCTTCGCCCTACTGCAAGCACCGCCCCGACGGGAGATTCACACACACACTACTTGGTGTCGGTGCCGGGCCTCCTTGCATTCGGTTAAGGCAGTGGTTTCCACAGGTCGGTTCAGAGAGAAGCATGGTCCGTGGCAGCTCGGTGTGCAACTCCAAGGAGTTCTTGTTTCAGTCCCTGAAATGAGTGCTGTTTGGTTCAGAACCCCGAAGGCTAGGTCAGGACCGTGGGTTCCTTCCTGGCACAGGATCAGTTTGCAGCTGGCGCTCCCTCACGTCAGAGAAACAGTGCACCTTCCTGCTTTTGTAGGTTTTTACTCAAAAGTCATCAAGTTGGTAGGAACCTAAAGACAAACAAAGGCATCTTTAATAGCAGTGTTTCTGATCTTCTCCGGTCAGTGAGCCAAGTCCAGATGTTAAAATCTGCTGGACCTAAGCTGACAGCTGATGAATAAAGGCTGTAAGACACTGGACCAATCACTGAGCTGGGTTCACAGACTCTCTCTAGGAAACAGACATCTAGGCAGGCGACTGTGGGGACAAGAGAGCAGCTGTGTGGACCAACACAGGGGCTCAGTAGATGCTGATTCAATCAATGAGGGAAGGAGAAAAGCCTAAGCAGGTCTGGGTAAGGGTAGATTTCAGACATACGCGTGTCACTATTTTTCTCACTAGCTATGTTACAAAGCATAATTCCTTCATGCACATTTTCTAAATCTAGCACAGACAATTTGTAACACTACTGAGAATTTCTTTGAGAAGTCATGGTGGATGTAAAAGCAAAAGAACAAAACTACATGAACTCAGACCCGACACTTCATAAACCTGAAAATCAATAGGCTGTGTCACAGCTTACTGTTTATAGATAAAATCAAACATAACTTGATTTTGTCTGAATTTGAAATTCAGTAATAATCCTCTGAAATAAAAGTGGTTTTAAAAAATTAACCGATGAATCCACTAGTCAAAGGTCTAAAGTAAGTTTTACTTTGTTATATAAAATGAAGCATGCTTTATATTTAAGCCAGCTTCCCAAAGCTGGGCTGGGTCAAGAGCTTCATATGGGAGTGGCTTTTCCCTGGTCCCTTAAAACATTAAAAAAATATATATGAAAAGTTTTATTGGCATACTATTCACACAACATATATTTCAACAGTCCTCCCACTACAATCATTTTGTAAAAACCCATGGTACTCATTAAAAATACACCTCATTGGATGTACACTGGTACAGATAGGAATTGGAAACACAGGGAATCCAGGACGGATGATCCCTTCAGGGACCAGTGGTGAGAGTGGCGATACCTGGAGGGTGGAGGGAGGGTGGGGTAGAAAGGGGGAACCGATAACAAGGATCTACATATAACCTCCTCCCTGGGGGATGGACAACAGAAAAGTGGGTGAAGGGAGACATCTGACAATATAAGACATGACAAAATAATAATTTATAAATTACCAAGGGTTCATGAGGGGAAAGATCGGGGAGGGAGGGGGAAAAATGAGGAGCTAATACCAAGGGATCAAGTACAAAGCAAATGTTTTGAGAATGATGATGGCAACAAATGTACAAATATGCTTAATACAATAGATATATGTATGGATTGTGATAAGAGTTGTATGAGTCCCAATAAAATGATTTTTAAAAAGTGCACCTCGTTATTTCTTCACCTCTTCTACATTGTCACATTGCGTCCTTTCATGTCCCTTTTTATTTGCAGAAAAAAAGCAGTCACATGGAACACAGTCAGGTGAGTCAAGTGTGGGGGGTAGGAGAGGCATGCTGTTTTTTGCCAAAAACTGGTTGGTACACTGAGATGGCTGTATGAGCAGGTGCATTATCTTGGTGGCCAAAGCAGACCCACATCTGCCACAAATTAGGCCTTTTTTATGGTCGCACACTGTTACACGATCTTTTCTGAACCTCTAAATAGATTAACAGCCTGACCTGATGGACTGAACTCTAAATGCACTACGAGTCAACATTTTCTTTTGTTCGGGAAGCTGATGGATATACACAATGAGGTTCGTCACCAATCGAGATTTCACCTTTTTTGCAATGAGAAAACCACTCGTCCACTTGAGTTTCCCCCATATTGCTGTTCTTGTAAGCTGTGTTCAACATCACAGCAGTTTCTGTGGCATTTTTCCCAAGGAGGAAACAAAATTTTACAGATGCATGCTGTTTTCTTAAATTGGTCACCACAAAAAGTGAGGTTTGAGTGAAACTGCTTTCATGAAAAAAATCCAGTGTGACCAGAGAGAATCTTCCCAGGCAACGCCACTGGGTGCACTAACTTAGAGCAAGTTGCTCAATGCTTGCCTAGCAGGAAAAATGTTTACTACGAAAGTTCTGCTCTGCCTAGCGCAATTCCGTTTGTTTGGTTTTTTTTTGGGGGGGATACCCGCCCCATATGCAAACAAGCAAACAAAAAGACTGACAGAAAAGTAGCTGACCTGGTCAGCAAGAAGGTCCAATGGTAAGAGCGAAAGTACGCTGGACCTGATGTCAGTGGACTGACACTGTCTAGGTCAGTCTTGAAATCTATTTTCCCCCTTCTTTTAAAAACGAGGCAGAAATGAAAGAGGATGTACAGAACAGAAGTGAACCAGGGAAGGATTAGTACAGGTGAGAAAGGTCTGTGTCCTTCCTTCTGTCCCAGATGCTAGGGACAGGGACAAAGGTGGGACAGACCTCTGTGCTAACAAACGCGCCTCTCCATGCATGTGAACAAGTTCTACTCCAACAATAGTGAGAAAAATGGATTTAAAGGATGATGACAGCAAGCGTCGGGTCCCAGTCCAAGCGCCCTCTACTTGTGCAGCCACGAAACACGTCATCGGGCTTCTCTGAGACTGCTTTCACCTCACTTGAGAAAAAAGGAGGTGGAGTGGGGAGTACAGAATCATTTAGATCCTCATAATATTGTCACATTAAAAGTAAATTTGTTTTATAAACATTGCCTTATTTTGTTCAATATTAGCTATTGATAACACTTTCATACTTTTGTATCAATACCCTGTCACTGATTTTCAAGTTCAACAAAAATTTGGTTTTAACAAAGGGCATAGTCATTTCCCCAAAATGCAGTGGTGTTTAAGGCCCGTCTGCTCTGCCAGCAGCAGCTCACGGTCCCACTCTGAACTGTGCAACACGTGTTCGGGAAACAACATAGCACTGCCTTCTCCTTTGAAGCAGGAGGTCTTCGAATCACTTTTTGAGTAATAGAAAGACAAACAAACAAACAAACAAGGAAACTCAAAAGGGTTCTTGGTTTCCCTGCAAACACGAGCCCACCTCCAACTAGGGGAACAAGCAAAGATGAACCAAAACAGCTCTTTACTAACGAGCCATCGTTTTAACCTTCTCTGCGATCATGCTCCCTTGCCGCTCGTTACACTGACTAGCACCTGCTGTTCTGCTCTATTCTGAACACTTTCAGCTTATTCCGGCCTCACGACCTTTGCACTCTCTGTTCCTTCTGCCTGCGACTCAGCCCTCCGGATTTTCCTGTGGTGGCTGGAGGCTGTCTGGCCCTCCAGGTCAGCAATCCCTTCTTCTCCCTGGTGACCAAAAGTGGTCACTTTGCCCGGCACTCCACCTCACTCACACCACTCTCTTTTACCTGGTACATAGTTCTGTGCATCGGTCAAGCCATGTTTGCTCAGGGAGAGACAGGCTGCATGTCTTGCTGACCGTCTCAGTAAGACCCACCCCTGCCATTTGTCTAGTTCATCCAGAAAAGCAGCTCATCTACTTCCTCTCTGGAAGCTCTTACAGCACATTGTGGATTGCTCTTCTGTACCAGGTTTCATTTTTGAAATGACCTTGTCGGTCATTAAGTTTTACCTCTCCTTCCTTTGTGGCCATTCAGACTAATATTTAGATCTGAGAGGTAGGAATTTGGAGCATTTTTTTACCCCCCTCGATGAAACAATTTTTATTTTATTAAATAAACTTATCTATTTAAAAAAAAAAAATGTCATGTTAAAGCCTCCATTTCTTGTTCCCCTGTCCCTCCTCTCGCCCCATTCCTGCCCCATCCGTGGCCTCTTCTTAGTGGTCAACATGTTGTCTATTGGTGTACAGACCACATTTCTCCCTTGTTAGGGCTTTCTCTGAGACCACAGTAGCTCACCTGTTGTTTGTTACTTTGGCAGGCTGCACTCAAATGCTTACACCACAGCATTGCATTCATCTGACTGCCAGCTTGAAACTTGTATGAATTTCCTAAAATTATCAAAACAAGGGGAAATGATTTTAAAAAATTAATTAAGACGAGGGCACAATAATCCTGCCAAATATCAAAGAGGCCAATTGAACCAGACAGCAGGTCTCCTGTTTTTTCCCCCAAACAGAATCTTCTAAGCAAACACATTGAAATGCTTACCTTTCTCCCCTTCACGAAGTCTGCTTTGTTGTTTATAAATTAAAAGAGAAGTCATGTTGTTTCCATACATGATTCTTTAGAGTAAAATGAAATAAATAAAACAGCTGCCTGGAGCCTCTCAGTTTGCATCTTGTGAGCCAGACGACAACGCCCAGTTCCTCACAGTCCAGAATCGAGCTAAGTCATAGTGTGACTATCGTGTTGCTACATGCAAAAATGCCCTTGCATGTTGAAGTTAAAACATTTTTCTATTTAATGCAAATAAGGATTAATGAAGAAGCCCTTGTGGTACAAATGACTAAGCCTTCAACTACAAACCAAAAGGCTGGTGGTATGAAGCCAGCCAGCAACTCCGATGGAGAAAGAGCTAGAGTTCTGCTCCACCATGACGACAGCCAGAAAACCCCGTGGGAGGCAGACAGTTGGAAGGAGTCGGAATCAGACAACAGGGCTGAGCCAACAGCTCCCCCCTTTCAGCCTTTACTTAGACTAGCCGGGATCCTGACAAATTCCTACATCTGCTGAGGCTCAGTGGGAAAGGTCTAAGGCATCGCTTTCTCTTATAGATCGTTAGACATTCACCAGTGTTGTCTAAAGTTGGTGGTTCAAACTAATCAGCCGAACTACGGGAGAAAGATGGCGCGCCTGCTCCTGTAAACATTTACAGTCTGGAAAACCAGAGTCCAAGCTGACTCAATGGCAGCGGGTGGTAGTCTTTGGGACACGGCCTCTCAGGAGCACTGTGACACAGTGGTTAAGTGCTCAGCACTCAAGGGAAGGTTGGCAGTTCAAACCCAGCAGCAGCATGGCAGTCTGCCTCTGCGAGAGAGGACCCTTGGATGCCCCTGCAGCCGTTCTGATGCTAGAGCAGACGCTTGCAGACTCATCTGGCTGCTGCCCCCTTTTCAGAGGAAAAAAAAATCACTTGTATCCCCACCCCACCCACCACTAATAAAAAACTTTGGTATTGTATAGCCCTTCATCAAGGAGAACATGTATGTATTGCTTTTGCAGCACCCCACCCCCGCCTGGGCTGGTATAACTCACTTTGGAAACACAAGTCCACAGGGTTACTGAGTTGAAATGGACTTGTCAGCAATGGGTATAGTTTTGGTGTGTGTGTGTGTGTGTGTGTGTGTGTGTGTGTGTGTGTACGTGCATGTGTTTATGCAGCATCAATTCTCCAGGCACTTTTCTGAAGCCCCTGAATATGGTTGACTATATGTATTAAGGCAAGAAGGTAATCAATGGAGAAAAGAAAAGATTCGTGTATTCTAGGCTACTCTAAATTCATTTTTCATTGATCTAAAATGTTTAAGCTTCTTTCGTAGTTAAAGCATTTTAAGGCTGTATTAACACACATAACAAATACTTGCCATTTTAAATGCAGAATTCTGAGACAATGACATACATACATCGTATTGCACAACCATGCACACTACTCACTTCCAAGTTTATCATCACACAAACAGAAACACAGCATCCACTCAATCATAGCTCCCGTCCCTCCCCGCCTGACCCCAGTCCCTGGTAACCACTAATCAAGGTTTGTCTCTATGTATCTGTTTATTCTGGAATCTGGAATAAACATGGTACAGAATATTATTCTGTTATAAAGAGAATTCAAGTTTTGAAACATGCTACAACAGACGGACCTTGTAAACAGTGAGTGAAGCAAGCCAGAGACAAAGGGCAAACGGTCTGTCGCCCCACTTCTCTGAAGCACGGAGACTTCGTTCATCCAGTCATCTGCCGATGGGCAGTGGACGCCTCCACTTGGGGCTGCTGTGAGTGAGTGATGCTGCAAAGAACACCTAAGCTAGTTCCCAGTATCTTAAAACACTTTACTCTCTCCTTTAATTGCAGCCAGTGGCCCCAGAGTCTGACTATATTTGGACACTGCACAGCTTTTCTTTGAGATTCTAAAAGCCAAAGAACTTTTTCACTTTCAAAAGCATTTTTCTCCAACAAGTGCTTTGCTAGCTAAGTAATATTGTTTTGCTTACTGAACTTAGATGCAGACATTATGTCAATTTGAATACTACTTAATCTAATAATAATAAAGGATGTCTGTAATAAAGCTGGCCACGGTTATTAACGTCCACTTTCCGCTTTCTCCTGAGAGCATGTGCGCATGCACACATACGGAAAAGCAAAGGAAAACAGCACAATGTCTAACTAATCCCACTAAAATGACCCAATGAAAAAGTATAACTGAATAGTGGGTTGGGATTTTGGAGTGTCAGGGACTTGAGTTCTCAATATAGAGATCAGAGTCTTTAATGTGTAAATCAATTTACACAATGTCAAAGTAAAACAAATGTGTTATCACCGCACTGCAGTTCTAAGTTGGAGGATTCTGGGCACACAGGAGGAAATAGTCTTTCCAGCTGCCCTGTGCAGCTTGCCAACCAGCTAGCAATTGTGACGAAGAAAGCACAGCCAGGGCTTAATGATCCTGACTCGGGACTGGGGTGGCAGGTATCTACTACAGACAGGTTTGGCGCAGGGAGGGTCAGCTGGGGCAATAGATAATAGATAACTTTATGTCAAAAATGTAGGGGTTGTTTCCAACCTGTCAATCAGGTCACATTGGCGGTGTGGCCTTCTCCTAAGGAGAGCCCTGGGAACCCCCTCTTTTCTGCTGGCTGGCCACCCTGAGAATGGCTTGCGCCTGGTCATGTTTCCACCAACCTTGGATCCACATGACTTTGCCTGTGGTGTTCCTGCATTCTGCATCTTTGCATGTGACTGCGTGAGTCAGTTACGGACTAACATGGGCCTTATGGACTTGAAAGTTGGACTGGGCTGGGGCGTTTTCTGGATATATAATTACTTCTTGGCATAAAGCTGTTTCTTACATATATGTGAGCATCACTGGATTTCTCTCTCTAGTCACAGCTGGTACGTTTGAACCGTCGACACACTGCCCTCCAACTCCTCTCATTGACTTTACAGACCAACCCCCACAACAGCCAGCCTTCCAATTCACAATGCGTACTGAAGGGGCCTCCAAAAGTTCATGGAGGATGGGAGAGAAAGATACTGAAAACTTCCCATCAACTACGTGAAGCCCCCTTGTATACACTGTGAAGTATCACAACCACACATATTTGGAAAGTGATTGATACCAAATAACCAAGTAATATAATTAAAAGTAACTGAATGGAAACCTTAAAACAAACAAACTTTTGCCACCCTCAGAACTTAAGAAGAATTCTGTATTTCAGGGTGTAAGTGAAAGGCTACGACCTATGTGGCAAATCTGAGATTGTAAAGTATTTTAAAGAAGCTGACAGAGTGGCAAATTAATTTTATTCCCTTCCCACCTTACTTCTTCCCCCTTTTGGTGAGCCTCAAAGGACGAACCTGGGCTTCTAAGTGTCCAGTTTATGCTCATGTAGCCAAGAAAATACATCTAAAGAACTTAAGGTATTATTAAAATCCATAATGCAACACTGTCTTCCCCAGAGATACCACCATACCAACACTTCACCCTGCCCCCTCTGTAGGTTTAAATGAGGTTCTGGTCTTTAGAAGGTTATGCTGAGCAGCACCTTATAAACCCCAGTCACCCAACAATTCACCTTTCTCTGAGTCAGTCAGCAAGAAGAGATCTGGGTGTCCGGGGTCATCGGCCATCACCACCATCCATCCCGCCACAGACACGTACTTAGTTGAGGTTGATTTGAACTGAGAGAGGGAAAAGAGAATTAACGAAGATACAACATGTACGGCTCATGTGAAGCAAAAATTAAGTGTTGGGCAGTTTCTTGTCAGCTCCTCTGTGGCTTCAGGCTGGCCCAAGTCTGGGCACGCCCTTTCATTACGCAAGCCCTCCCTGGAGAGCCCTTCTCCAGACCTTTCCCAGCCTCTGCTCCTCACCGAATCCCAACTGTCCTCGCCTCTGCTCCTGAAGAGTCTTTTGGTGAATATGATAAATTAATCTATGTGGTTTCTCCCTCCCTCTCCTGGTGCGAGAGTGACTGTCCTTGCTACCTGCCCCTCCCCTTCACGGGAAACACAGATTCTAACAGAGCTGTGAGGACGTTGATAACGAGCAGATGCCTGAGCCAATCACCATATTAACAGGCTAAGGAGGGGGAAGAAAAAACAAACATACAATCTACTTAACAGACTAAAAGGACTGCTTCCTTAATAAAGAATATATCATCAAAACCAGCAAAAAAAAAAACCCCAAAACCCAAAGCCATTCAAAAACCAAAGTGAACACAGCAGGAAAGAAAAGCTCTGAAGTAAATACACTGGGGAATAAACGCTACAGGACTTCAGCATCAGCAGCAAGGCAAGGAGCCCCTGGTGCTGCTTCTCCTCCCAAGTGACAGTGAGGGCCAGACTCCACACCACCACCACGGCCCCAAGCCCACTCGGCCTCGCCCCTCATTCAAGAAAGGGGATATGTGTGTGTGTGTGTGTGTGTGTGTGTGTCAACAAATCCACTACCACTGAGTCGATGCTGACTCAGCAAACCTATGGGACAGGGTAGAACTGCCCCCATTGAGTTTCTGGAACTGCAACTCATCATGGGGAGTAGGAAATCTCGTCTTTTTCCCAAGGAGTGTCTGCTTGTTTCGAACTGCTGACCTTGCAGGGGCAGCTCAATGCGTAACCACTACACCACCAGGGCTCCTTGTGCTGTTGTTGTTTTTTAAAAGAATATACATTAGAGACTAATCAATTGTATGTGCATATGCCTCCAACCACCCCACCCCACCCCAATTAATATAAAGTATCCATCACTTAACATCCCCAACATGTTCTGTAAAATAGGGTGTGATGCTATTTACGTGTTGTGTAAATACCTACTAGGTACAGTTATCCCCTGTACATTCTGCAGTGAAATCTCTGGATGGCCTATTATATTAAAGCCTTATGGAAGATTGGTGTGTCCATTGGATATAGGAGGCTACCTTGTCAGGTATGTGGCTGGGCTGGGCTACATGGGAGCTTTGCACACATCCAGGCAGAGGGTGGGGGTGGTGTGCATGGGGGATGTGAGGGAAGTGGCTTAGAGACTAGGTGTGAGAATGTCAGGAGTGGTACAGACACTGTCTGATCACCTGGAATCCAAGTTGTGCCCCGGCCTGGCTAGCGCCCAGCACGAGTCTTGGAGTGCAGGTGAAAGAATACAGGGAGAAGCACGAGAGGAGGCACTGAGGAACTGGGAGGCACCCTGGAGCCACACCGCTCGGGATCTTCAAAACCATGCCACCCACAGCCACAGAGTTGATTCTGAGTCTACACCACAGAGGGAAACTGCTCCTGTGGGTTTCGGAGGCCATAACTCTTCACAGGAGCAGAAAGACTCATCATTTCTCCTAAGATCAGCTGGTGGGGCTGAACTGCCAACCTTGCGGTGAACAGCCCAACTTGTGGCCCATGACACCACTAAGGCTTCTGTAAACAACAGGGGGCAGGGGTGGGGGAGCTGTTTCCCTTTTAGAAAGACAGAACAAAACTGCCTCTGGCACCCCGATGGATGTGTGGTTGGACACTGTCTGATTGGGTGCTGAGCAACTCCTACCTGTACATGCTTAGAGGACACACAAGAAGTGGTGTAGCTTTAGCTGTGATTTGTGTTTTTCCCTTTCCAAAAAAGTCGAACTACTACTACAGTGATTATCCAAATACCTTTGGTCTACCTTTTGCCACATTGAATTTTGAAGTGAAGTCGCAGACAAGACACGGATCTTCTAAGAACAAGAGTAAGTGCCTATATACACCATGCCATTATCATACTCAAGAAATCTCCCAGACCGAAGGCCATCTCAAAATCTCCCCAACTGTCTCAATGACGAGTGCAGCTTTCGTAATCTTAACTCTAGGGTTTAACAAAATGTGAGAGAGTGGTGTATGTATCCCCTCTTCCTCCAGACAGAGTGAAGAGAGATAAGGATTTGCTTCTCTACTCTCTGTCCTATGTTGATATTATTTTCTTTAAGCTTTCCAGTTTTAAATAGAAAAGATGAGAACTGTATTTCATTCCTTGGCATTCACAATCTCATTTCCTTATGACCTACTATGTTCTAATTTTTCAACACTTAATATGTATTATTTGTTAGAAACCACAATAGTCGAAATACCAAGCTATCATAACATGCCAATAAGTCTTAATCTGTAACAACAATGCCAAGCAAACATTAGCTGACAAACTCAAGCATCTTGTAACTTCCTGAATTTGGCCTCTAATTCAAGCTAGGGAAACAAGTTTAAAAATTATTTTGAATAATTTGCTACTTTATAATAGTTGTTGTGAGCTGCCAATGAATCTGTTCCGACTCATGGCAACCTTGGGCACCATTGTGTTCTTGAATTCCATTCTTCTCAAGGTTATCCATGGTTTGTCACAGTAGATTAAGTGACATCTGTAAGGGGCCCTGGTGGCACAGTGGGTTAGGTACTGACCTGTTACTCACAAGGTCAGCCATTGGAAACCACCAGCTGCTCGGTGGGAAAAAAGGAGGCTCCCTACTTGGACTCAGAAACCTACAGGGGAAGTTCTATCCTGTTCTAGAGGGCCACCAGGAACCGGTACTGACTCAGTGGCAGTGAGCTGAGGGAGAAGTGACATCCAGCCAACAAGGATCTCTAAGTGATTAATGACAAATCACTTGCTTTCTACTCGAGGATTTGCTGTATCACATTTTCCTCCTTCTCCTCTCTTCCGGTTTGTTTGTTGTAGGCTGCTGACAGCACCTTCATATGACACAGAATTTCCCCACAGGGTTTCCTGCTGTCGTCTTTTCTCCTAAAGAGCTGCTGGGGCTGGGTTCCAAATGCCAACTTCTCTGTTCGCCACCGAAGGCTTCACGGCTGGTCCAGGGCTCCGACCGTACTACGAAGCAGAGGCAATGACTCTGCCACACGCCACAGTGAAACGCATCTGTAGAACGTCGCTGCACGTGGGCATCAGTCAATTACAACAGTAACAGAAACTCACAGAATCCAATGTACCCCTGATGGGGCCCCTTTGCCTCAATTTTAACAACAAAAGTGAGCAAAACTAACTTACAAAATAAATAAAAACCAGTGCTTAAGAATATGCCAGGGGGCTTTCGAAGACACCTGGGAAAAAGGAATGAAAAGATAATTCCACTTTCACAAACTTTTCCACGGCCACTTTCATGATTACAAAAGAAAAAAAAAAAAGTTAAAAAACGGGAACAGTGTATCACTTAAGGAAACAAATGATCTGATTTGAGATTTAAAAGCAGCCACTAAGGGGACATTCAGGAGAGTGGTGGGTTTTGGTATGGCTGATGAGGAAAGGATGCTATCAGACAGAGAGTGGGGGTTGCTGTGACCACTAGTAGCCCCTCTGCACCTTTTCTGGTTTGAGAACAGAAATAAATCATGAGGATGTACAAGAGCGTCTCTCAATGACGCAGTATTGTCTGGCTAATGCGCACGTGGAAAAAGGGCTTAACTTTTTCTCTATTGGCTTACCTTGCCTCAGTAAATCTTAAACCACTCAAGTATTGTCCCCAAATAAATGGCGCAGAGATAAAAGGGATTTTATTACTGCAACACGGAAAAACAAAATGATTCTTCTTTCCAGAGATTGTATCACTGGCATACACAAAAACAAAACAGCACACAGCTGAGTTATGAGCAGATTGTACATTTGGAGAAGAGGACTCGGAGGCTCCTTTTCTTTTAAGGAAGAAAGCTGACTACTGAAAACTACTGTGATTGTTCAGTCTTCCTCAGTGTTGGGGGAAATCGCCGGATCAGTTTGAGGTAGAAAGAAACTCTAGATACTGGCCCCCAAGTTCACTGCACAGCCTAGACACTGACACTCCAAAGCCTTGCTCTCAACAAGAAACGGCCATCAGGGCAGGCTCTGATGTCAACACAGGTGTTTGGAGAGTGCAGTTTTGACAACCTGTAGTAGAAAAACAGCATTCAAAAAGGAAACTTAAAAGACATGGAAAAAATGAGGTTTCCTTGCTTGGAATGGCCTTACTAAAAACACTACCACCATACTATTAACCCAAGAAAAGAAAACGGTAAAACCTGGATTAGAATGTGGAAACCAAACAAAAGCACCCACATCCATTAGGACTATTATTTTTGGATGGGCCATGGGACAGGTAGTTAGTTAGATGGCACCGGTGCTGAGGCTGGGAAGGTGGGAACAGTCTTCAGATTGCAGACCGGGGAGACCAAGGAGACCCTTGTGGAGGGTGGGGGATGAGAAACTCAGGGTAGAGAGAAGGTGTGATGCAGTGAAATGAGGTCGGGGAGGAGACAGGGTAAAAGGAAAGTACTTTTATAAACATGAAGAGGCCGTAAAAAAAACACACACACACACACCCATACTAACATTTAGAGTCGGAATACTTACATGCTTTCTTTCCGTAGCCTTTAGAGATTTGGCAGCATAGTAAAAAAGTTGGGTCCCACACAAAGCTGCCCAATATTTTGTCCAGGATGCTACCTGCAGAAGACAAATACATGAATAAACCACTAAGCCGACACTGGTCTATTTTTTTAAATTGTCATAGTACCAAGGACCTTTAGCTGCACTCCACCCTTTACTGACACCTTATGCATTACACAATACCATCAAGTTGGTTCACAGCAACCCGTGTGACACCGAGGCACTGTCTCAGAGGCTTTCCAAGGGTATAATCATTATGGATCATAGCAAACTATGGATAGCCTTGAGAAGATGGGGGATTCCAGAACACAGGCACATGGATCAAGAGGCAGTCATGCAAACTGAATAGGGGAGATGGGATGTTTTAAAATCAGGAAGGGCGTACAGTAGAGTTGTATCCTCTCACCACAGTTATTCAATCTGGATGCTGAGCAAATCAGAGAAACTGGATTCTATGGAAGAAGAAGTGGCATCGGGATCGGAGGAAGGCTTAGTAACACCCCGTGGTATGCAGACGACACAACCTTGCTTTGCTGAAAGTGAGGAGGACTTGAAGCACTAGCTGATGACGAAGATCATGGATTACGACTCAATGCAACAAAGATCCAACTCCTCACAACTAGATCAACAGGTGACACCATCATAAATGGAGAAAAGGTTGAAGCTGCCAACCTTTTGGATCCATCATCAGTGCTCCTGAAAGCAGCGGTCAAGAGCTCAAGCAATGCACGGAACAAGTAACCCCGCTGCACAGGGCCTTTTGAGCGTGCTGGAAAGCAAGAATGTTACTTCCAGGTCTAAGGTGAGCCTACCCCAGGCCCTGGTATTTTTAATTGCCACATACACATGCAAAGATGGACACTGAATAAAGAAGACCGAAGAAGAATCGATGCATTTTAATTACAGTGCTGGTGAGCAATCCTGAAAGGACCACGGACTGCCAAAAGAACACACAAATCTGTCTTGGAAGAAGTACGACCAGAATGCTCCCTAGAGGCAAAGATGGGGAGACTCCATTGCATGCACTTTAGGCATGTTGTCAGGAGACCTGTCCCTGGAGAAGGCCATCACGCTTGGCAAAGTGGAGGGGTGGTGAAAGAGGAAGACCCCTGAAGGGAAGAATGGACACAGTGCTCCAACCTAAGAACAACTGTGAGGATGGTGCAGGACGGGCCAGGCAGGGTTCTGTTCTGTGGTGCATGGGTCACTAGGAGCTGGTACCGATGCACTGGCATCTAACAACATGAATGGATGCAGACTGCCCCATCCTTCTCTCGCGGAGCTGGTAAAGTCCAGCCGCTCTAGCAGCTAAATGTCAGCCACTGCCACCAGGGCTCCTTGGTCAAACCTTAGACTTGAAGTCTAATTCCTGATGATCACTCCCAGCTAAGGTGCTCTAATACTAGTATTCCCACTTTTTAATATTACCTAGTATTTTCTACTCTACCCTTATGTTCTTCCTTTCTCTGAGTCTAACCTATATCCCACGGCCCAACACTATAATCGTTCTCTTCCAGGTATTTTAATTCCTGTCCCTTTCTCCTGATAAGGCCCTAATCCTAGTTAAATCTAATCCTCTGAGTACTTGGTCCCACATACCAACAGCTGAAATCTTACAGTCGTGCCAACTTATAAAATTATGATCACCAATCTCAAGCAAAGATTATAAAGCACTTTCCTTTGAAGAAATCTCCTCCTCCAGCCCATTGCACTATTCCACTGCTCCTTTACCCTCAATCTCCTCATTCCCACCCTGCACTCGGGCGGGTCTCATCGGTCTTCCCAGGTCTGCAGTCCGAGGACTGCCCCTACGGTCCCTCCCTCCGCGCTGGTGTCACCTTGCTACCTGTCTCCTGAACCACACAACCCCCGACAGAACTTGCGACTGATAAAACAAAAGTGGTTCCAGCTCCAGCTTTAAGAACTGTTACTCTCCATTCTCTATTTTCCTAAAGCTATTATTAAAGTACTTCTTAACAGTACATACTTTCAGGACTCTTTAAGAAACAGTTTTTTAAAAATTAAATACTTTTATTGGAGGCTCTTACAGCTCTTATTACAATCCATACATTCATTCATTGTGTCAAGCACATTTGTACATATGTTGCCATCATCATTTTCAAAGCATTTTCTTTCTACTTGAGCCCTTGGAATCAGCTTCTCATTCCCACCCCCAAGAAACAGTTTTTAGTAAGAACTAATTTAGGGGTCAAAATTAGTTTGACCCCTAACTTCCACTGAGTGGATTCCGATTCCGAGTGCCCCTGGAGCTAGAACAGAACGGCTGCTGTGGGCTTCTGAGGCTGCCAATATTCTCTGAAACAGAAAGCATTGCTTTCCTCCCGCAGAGACACTAGTGGATTCTAACTCTGGACCTTGTGGAGAGCAGCCCAATATACAATTTAATGCTCAACAACACTGTCGTTTAAAAAAGCATGGTGAAACAAATACAAACTTTGGATGATTTAGAATCTACCATATCTGGTTTGACTGCAATTGCTTTTGTTTTAACTTGTAAAACATGTATAAGAGTTCAAAGATTAAGGTTGCCTTATGTGTGCGCACAACTTGGATAATGAATGAAGACCAAAAAGAGTATTAAATGAATCATAGACTGCCAGATAAATCAACAAATCTGTCTTAGAAGTACAATCAGAATGCTTCACCACAAGCAAATGTGGTGATGAAAGCTGATGGAGCCCAGCTATATAAAGATATAGCATCTTCAGTCTTAAAGGCTTGAAGTTAAACACAGCCATCTATCAGAGAAGCAAGAAGCCCACACAGAAGCAGCACACTAGCCTGTGTGATCATGAGGTGGCGGCAGGATCAGGTAACAGGCATCAGAAGACCCCAAACAAACAGAAAAACCTATGGTTGAGAACAAGGGGGGGTTATAGAAGAGTCCCCAAACCCATCTGTAGACAATGGGACATCACCTCACAGAGGGTTGCAAGGAAGGCATGAGTCAAGCAGGTGAAGTATAGCACCGATGAAACACAACATTCCTCTGGTTCCTTGAGGCTTCCCACCCCCTACTATCATGACACCAGTCCTGCCATTCACTGCGGGCTAGGCCAGAGCATGTACACAGGTACAGATAAGAGCTCAGTACACATGGGATCCAGGTCAGGAACGGGATCCTCGGGAACAGATAAGAGCTCAGTACACATGGGATCCAGGTCAGGAATGGCTTCCTCGGGAACAGGAACGGGAGTGGTGATACCAGGAGCGTAGGGGGAAGATGGGGAGAGGAGGGGGGAAGAAATCTTGGGGGAAGGGTGACAGCAGTCAGTGTAAGATATGAAAATAATTATAATTTATCAAGGGGTGACAAGGGTGGGGGTGGGTGGGTAAAAAGAGGAGCTGATACCACGGGATCAAACAGAAAGTAAATGTTTAGAAAATAATGATGGCAGCATATGTACAAATACGCTTTTATACAACTGATGTATAGATTGCTATAAGAGCTGTAAGAGTCCCCAATAAAATGATCTTTTGATTAAAAAAAGAAAAAAAAAGAATGCTTCTTAGATGTGAGGATGACAAGACTTGATGCACTTACGACATACCGTGAGGAGAGACCAGGAAATATTCTTTTTTGTTTAAAAAACATTTTATTAGGGGCTCATACAACTCTTATCACAGTCCATACACACATCAATTGTGTAAAGCGCATCTGTACTTCATTCTCAAAACATTTTCTCTCCACTTAAACAATATTCTTGGTAGAAGGTCGAGAAAAAGAGGAAAACTCACAACACGAGGACTGACACAATTGTTGTGACAATATGCGCAAACATGGCAGCAACCGTGAACGGGTTTTCCCTTCTCTACCCAGGGTTGCTATGCTGAAGACTAGGGCGTGCCGGCCAAGCCACGGTATTTTCAGTCATCGCCTATGCACGTGAAAGTTGGACACTGAATACGGACGAACATCTGAACTATGGTGTTGGTGAAGAATACTGCAAGCACCACGGACTGCCACAGAACAAACAGGCCTGTCTTAGAAGGAGGACAAGCAGAATGCCCCTTACAGGCAGGGATGGGGAGACCTCAGACTGCCAAGAGACCGGTCCCTGGAGAAGGCCATCATGGTTGGTCAAGTGCAGGGGCAAGGGAAAAGAGGGCAGCCTCTGATGAGATGGATGGACGCAGTGGCTGCACCAATACACGAGAACAGCTGTGCACACGGCGCAGGACCGGGCAGTGTTTCCTTCCGTTGTACACAGGGTCACCCTGAGTTGGCACCTAGCAATTACAACAACAGGACTGCTCTGAGTCAGAACCAACTCGCTGGCACCCAAGAACACAACAATATGCAGTTATATACGGAGCCCTGCCCAACGCCAGGCTGCTAACCAGCCATTCTGCAGGAGAAAGAGGAGGTCGGCTACACCCTTAGAGTCCTATGCTGTCCCTATGGGTCACTGGGAATCAGAGCTAATGACGGCAGGTGGCTTTACATATTTGTTTATATTTTTAGAAGTAGATTAAAATATAATAAAATCTTACTGTAGGCTTTTTGCCTTCTTTTAATAAAGTTTTTCTCCTGAGAACACCTTGAATTGTAACCGCTCCTGGGTATAAATGTACTGCCAAATCTTCTGATTCTGCAGAACTATAAATAGTGAAACGAAGAAAAAGGCATATCAGAGCTTTTATCTCTAGTAATCATCAAGTCAGTAACTTAAACAAAATGGTATTTCTTAATTTAAAAATGGTTAATTTTATTCAGACCTGAGAAGACATTGACAATACAATGGTTTATTGATATGAAATGTATAAGCTGTCATAAAAGTTAACTAGGAAGTTAGTAACATCAGCACATGGCTAAAATATATTTATATATACTTCATTATATATTCAAACAAACAATAATATAGAAAGAATAGAACAATTCACTTTAGTAAAGATTAAATTAAGGATTTAAGGTTTGTCTTCTTAATATGACTGACTGCATCACTGATGAAGCCTTTCCCCTGATTAGAAATTTTCGGTCCTGGCAAAGGAAGGTGAGGCTTCTAACTGTTAAAGCATTTAAGTATGGAAAAATAAAAACAGCAGCAGCTCAGAAAAGGGAATCAACCAACAAACCCAGGCTTAGTTTAACTCTGAAATAGCTGAAAATGACAAACAGCAGTAGCGATGAAAAAGCGTGGCTAGCTGCCATCACTTTCAACGACATCTAACACCCAAGTGTCTGGTTGTAGACTAACAGCTCTCCAAGGACAGGGTTAACTCCAACGATCAAGATTTCCTTTTCATACATCTTAAAGAACATCATTACAAAATAACCAAACATTTGAAAATACCTTTCCTGTAATTGCAACAAGAACAACTTCTACATGTGTCCATTCAATATATGCACTGTTACAATTCTATTCTTTTCTGGGGAAGCCGTGCAGGTTTATCCCCTTACGTATTCAGGTGTCTTCAAAGTGACGCCAAGTCGAGAACCACTAGCAATTTCCCCGAGAGCTCTTTATACCTAGAGGGAGGTCTACGCTAGGAGATGAGACACCGCCAACGGGACCAAGCCATTTGGTGGTATTTTGAACTGACTCAATCGGGAAGAAATCTGGTTTACTACACTGAATGGACAACTGGACCAACAGGAGTTTAAATGTACAAATACTATTTAATGAAATAGAAGCGTCCAAATACAGGGCCTGTAGCTTTTTGTTTTTTTTTCTCAGATGGATTTTAAAAGCCTATAATAAATGTAGATTTATTAGCAAAGAAAATGCTTTGAAGCAGCCTCAGGAACCATAAGCAGATTTTTGCTCATCCCAAAGCCAGCAGAATTAGAAAAACCTGCGCAAAGAGCTATCAACTTGGAAGCATTTAAACAAATCTGATACAAAGATGCAAGCTTTAAGCAATTTGCTCCATGGCCCGGAAAAGCATAGGTCAAAGTTCTCTCTCTCTCAAACCTTGGAAAACAAATCTCCCTGGGCACTTTGTGGGAGAGAACCAATGAGATGGCAGAGAAGAGAAGGAGCACCAGCCTGCCCCCGTGCCAGCCGATCACCAACATCAGAGCGGAGTGCTGTGGCCCGAGTGCAGGGGAGATGTACCTGCTGGCCTTCACGTGGCTCCAATAGCCATTTCGTGCCACTCTTGTCACCGAGCCGAGAGAATGGTATAATCTGTTCCTGTTGGATTCCATTATAAATTGTATATATTACACATACTTTCATGCACACAAGCATCATCAGAACGTAGAACAGTATATTTCTCTGTGTAATACAGCTTTCTGATGTCTACAAAAGGGTCATTTATGTGACTGCTTCTCTTTCTTTCTTAAAGCATGCAGCATAAGTTTGAATTTGCTTCTTCTTTTGTTTATTCTAGAAATACTTTGGTGTCCAGCATACACCATACATACCATATATACTTGTGTATAAGCCGAGTTTTTCAGCATGTTTTTCATGCAGTTTTTGTGGTAAAATTAGGTGCCTTGACACCTTCCCAACACAATCGCTGAAGACAAATGTGTGCATAAGCAAATGTGGTGAAGAAAGTTGATGGTGCCCAGTTATCAAAAGATATAGCGTCTGGAGTCTTAAAGGCTTGCACGTAAACAAGCAGCCATGTAGCTCAGAAGTATCAAAGGCTACATGGAAGACGCACACCAGCCTGTGTGACCACGAGGTGTAGAAGGGACCAGGTATCAGACATAAAAGAGCAAAAAATCATATCAGTGGGTGCCCACCTTCCCGATATGATCACTGAAGACCAATGTGTGCATAAGCAAATGTGGTGAAGAAAGCTGATGGTGCCCAGCTATCAAAAGATATGGAGTCTGAGGTCTTCAAGCTTGAAGATAAACAAGCGGGCATCCAGCGAAGAAGCAACAAAACCTACATGGAAGAAACACACCAACCTGTGTGACCACGAGGTGTCGAAGGGATCAAGGACCAGGCATCAAAAAACAAAGAATCATACCATTGTAAATAAGGGAGAGTGCAGAGTGGAGCCCCAAAGCCCATCTGTAGGCAACTGGACACCTCCCCCCACCCCCCTTACTGAAGGTTCGTGGGGAAGAGATGATCCAGTCAGGGTGCAGTGTAGCAACGATGAAATGTACAACTTTCCTCTAGTTCTTAAATGCTTCCTCCCCCCCACTATCATGATCCCAATTCTACCTTAGAAATCTGGCTAGACCAGAGGATGTACATTGGTACAGATAGGAACTGGAAACACAGGGAATCCAGGACAGATGACCCCTTCAGGACCAGTGGTGAGAGTGGCGATACCTGGAGAGTGGAGGGAAGGTGAGGTAGAAAGGGGGAACCTATTACAAGGATCTACATATAACTTCCTCCCTGGGGGACAGACAACAGAAAAGTGGGTAAAGGGAGACGTTGGACAGTGTAAGATATGACAAAGTAGTAATTTATGAATTATGAAGGGTTCATGAGGGAGGGGGAAAATGAGGAGCTGATATTAAGGGCTCAAGTAGAAAACAAACGTTTTGAGAATGATGGCAACAAATGTACAAATGTGCTTGACACAATGGATGTATGTATGGATTGTGATAAGAATTGTACAAGACCCCACTAAAATGATTAAAAACAAACAAACAGGTGCCTTGGCTGATATTCGGGTCGGCTTATACTCGAGTATATACTTCCACAACGCTAATATGAGAATCAGGGAGCAGTGTAACACCAAATAATACCAAAACTTGAAAATACTTCAAAAATGGTTCTTTCTCTCTCACTGTTTTGGATGCCAGGTTCAATAGGATGCCTCTGATTTTTAGGGTTCATTTTAATTACATGTCCCTCTGAAGACACCTAAAAAGAAATATGGCCACATGCTTTCTTTCTTTTTTTTTTTGGCCACATGCTTTCTACTTTCCTCCTGACCCTTATGTTAAATCAAAGACAACTAATAAAAGAGATGACTTGAGTTGGAAAAGCAAAACAAAAACACAGGCATTATTTTATTTCCACATTAAGTGACACAGCCAATAAATGATCAAAATGCTATGAGTTAATATTTATCCAAAATGGCACTTAATGCTTATGAAACAAAGGAAACACACAAGCACGCATACGCGTATAATAACAATGCTGCTTCTTTGCCTGGGAAAAGGCAAAAGTAGCACTGCTGATAAATAATATTTTAAACAAAACCCACTATTTTACCCTCCTTAAGCATGATATACTTTGTGTTTCTCCATTCCTAAGGATATCAGAACAAAAATCGGCACACCTAATATTCAAAGTGGAGTCCTGGTGGTGTGGTGGGTATGTGTTGGGCTGCCATCCACATGGTTGGCAGTTTGAAACCACGAGCAGGATCTTGGGAGAATAGACTGGGCTTTTCTACTCCCATAAACAGAGTCTCAGAAACTCACAAGGGGGAGGGCAGGAGGGGAGGGGAGGTGCCACTATGACTCAGCATTGACTCGATGGCATCAGAAACATTCTGAGTATGACTGTCAAGTTTCCTTTGTACAAAGAATGTTTTAAATTCGAATTCTCTGTTCATTTTTCATTATTGCATGTCTGAACCTTGCTGGTTGTCATTAATTTAACAGCTCTCAAAAATTTCCAAGAGCCACTGATTTAAATTTGGTACAAGCAGAATAGAATTTTAGCTGCAAATGTTTGCAAAGCAAAACATTTGTCATAAAAGAAAAATATCGTTTTGAGATGAGATGGTAACCCCCTTAAACAAACTGCCTTCATCAGGGACCTGCTGGGAGGAGGACAGGTTGTTGCACCCACCACCACAATGGGTCCTCCCACACCCAGCAACCCGGTAAGCGATTGTGTTAACCAGCACCTCTCACCTACGGATTACAGTATTTCCGACAGGCAGCAGATTATGGCTTATGGTCTTTTGCGGGTCGGGGTGGGTGGCACCGGGAGTCTAAGACAATTTAGACAAATGCAGACAGCATGCCAGAGCAATGCTGTGTCTTTCCATTTCAGGCAAACCCAAATACAGAGATTGAAAGCAATGTTTGGAAGAGAAATGGTATGTAAAAACAAATTGTTCAAAAACCCAAAGTCCAATGAGAACAAAACTTGTGAAGACTGAAAACCAAAAAGTGCTTAGAAATATTGGGCTCACCAGTACAATCTTAGCCACATAACAGCCACGATATTTGGGTGCAGTTTCCTCAAGAACCAAGATCTAATTTTCTAATGGGATTGCCTAAAACTAATTCAAGTAATTAGGATCGTTGTGTTCAACAGCTTTGTTTTAATACGTTACGTAAAAGTCATGCAGCAAATAGCATGTGCTTGAGCAAGACATGTGCATGGCTTGAATGCAGGAATGTGGTCACCCGGTTGCTCTGAAACTTTGTGGCTTTGCCTACATAGAATAGAGCAATTATTTTGGTAGGTAGTCAAGCATCTTGTGTTTAAAAAACAGAAAAAATGCAAGAGTCCTAATGAACACTTGGTGGGCAGCAATAACTTGCGGTGTTGCGCTACATTTTTAGAGAGATTTTTATATGTGAAGTTTAAGACAGCACATGCTATTTGCAGCAGGCAGACAACACTTGTATGGCTCCTTGCTAACAGGGAAATGAGAAGGGGGCATGACCTAGTAAGCATGTCATAGGAGGAATCTGTTTACTCTGAGCTAACTTTGAGTTTATGACAATTTAAACTCAAACTTCAACTACCTTTACTTAGAACGTGGGGAAATAATTACTTTTTTAAAATTAATTTTTAAAATACTTTTGAACACAAAAGTATGTGCCTTGACCATGATTGGTTATTACTATTTCCAAACCTTCAACTTAGAATGTACAAAAACATGCATACGTTATGTGTCAAGCTACCAAGCAAAGGTAAATGGAAATGACCCGATCGACCCGTTTCATTACAACTGTTGACTTCAAGATCAAATTCTAATTTCTGCTACTGGCAAGAACCAAAAATGGTCCCTTAAATATACATGATAAAAATGGCCTCTTAATATTCTCATTATCATATACTTTCCGATAGACAAACTAAATTCAAAGAAGCTTAAAGGGCCAATTTCTCTTACCTTTCAAAAGCAGGCCACGAGGTCTCTTCACTTAGTTCAGAACCATCACTGCTACCTAAAATCAAAGGTTATTCTGTATTTTTAAAAAGCCAGAGGTATTTTTCCTGTTTGACACATTTAAAAAATAAGTGCACATAAAATAGCCACTTTTTTGTGTGTGGGGGTGAGGGGTGGAGGAACCCCCACATAGCCACATACTAATTCTTCATTCTATTATTACTGCTGCTAGATTTATTTTGCAAGACAATGGGATATAGGAGGCAAGGCTACCTAACAACTACAGAACAAAACCTTTTTATATGCCTATTTACAGCTCAAGTTCATCATGCTAATAAGGACTTTTTCTATCACCTGAAAATGTACAAAAGTGTAAAATGTTTTCTTTATAAGGTCTGTTATAGTTTAAGATCAATGTAATTATGAAATCCTTAGAAGTTCTTAGCATATAGTTTCTGCTCTTTACTCATTTAAAAACCTAGTTCTTCAAAGATTAAGGAGCCTGATGCAATAACAGCTCAGTTCTTCGCCTTGTGAGAGAAGATGGAACCCCCTAGGTAAAACCAACCAACAAGCCAACCAGCAGCACTGTTAACAATGCCAGGAAAACTGGGAAAGTTCACCCCCTGAATTATCAGTATCAAGAGCTGTGAGTGCAATGATCCTACATCTAACGGCGACCTTTCTTTTGTAAAATGTTCTCTAGCTGTGGTGGAAAGAAGAGGCTGTCTGCTCCGGTATAGATGACAGCCGAGGACACCCTCAGGGGCAGTGTACTCGGTCACACCGGGCTGCTAGCAGTAGGAATGGGCTATGCGGGAGTGGTGGGGGTGGTCAGAGTTAATTGCATGTTTTCCAGCTGAGCTTTAAAAATCCTTTTTTAAAAGAAAGATAAGGTGGAGGCCCCTCCTCCCCCCTAGAAGTATGTCTCACCTATTGATATCCCACTAGACAGAGTGGAGCTTCCAGCTTGGCCTCGAGATGGGGCGTGGGGCTCCATGACGCTGTCATCTAAGAGATGCCTTGGTCCTGCGTTTGGGAATGTTGCACTCTTAAACTCAGCTGTGTTCATCTTGTGAATGAAACTGAAACAGAGCAGTGTTTCTCTTAGAAACATAAAGGCATATAAGGTCCCTCTTGACTAATGAAGACACGGAATTTGCCATGAAAGCATCAAACTAAAAGTTTAAGGATTTTTCTCTCTCCAGGAAACCCGCTCATATCTTTGATAAATTAAAAACGAAACAAAACAAAACACCTTAAAACAATTAGGTTCCCTTTCTTTACATTTAGAAATTAAGAGGGTCCTTTCCATAGACCTTAATTCAGGACGACTTACTTGGCCTGAGACCAGTACTGACTGTGTTGGCATCAAGGTTATCATTTAAAGGAAGACGCTTTGCTGCTGTGAAGATCTCCCTATGTTCCCTTTCTGAAACAGTTATCTACTTTCCCAACTGAGCAGACAGCTCATTTCCTTATTCAGGCAAAGGAACAAGTAAGTACTTTAAATAAGATATTTTACACAGAGTAAAGTTGTTTTTATACAAGAACACTGTGCTAGAAAACTAATAAAGCAATATGACACAAATGAAAATATAAGCAACTTAAAAAAAATGAAAAGATAAAACGGGAAAATGCTGACTTATAACCCAAGCTGTGGCACTTCCTATGCCCGTGTGGGATCAGGTTCCGCGGGGATGGGGGCGTCTGGGGCAGCAAGGGTCCTTCAGCTGCCACACTTTTTCTTCCACTTTGCGGAGATGCTCCTACTTCAGGACCTGAGAGTTAAATGAGAGAGAGATTTTCCAATGGCTCCAAAAGAATGTTTTTTGTTCTTTCACAGAAAATGGGAAAGAGGAGGGCATCCTATTTTCTGAGTCCTAAAACACAAAATCCTAAGACACACAAAAATGTACTACCATTTGAGTCCAACAGAGCAGAACTGCCACGCCTTTTTCTTGAGCAGCAGCTGCGGGGCTCGAACCACTGACCTTTAGGATAGTGGTTGAGTAGTTAACCCCTGCACTACCAGGGTTAAGACATACAAAATCTATTCATTTCTATCTAAGGTAGTACAAATCTGTCCCCCGTTTATAAGGAAAGCAGTGGAATGAGACGAGATCTGCACACAGACGAAACAAAGGGAAACATCCAGGCTGCCGGAGATCAAGTGGAGTGCTGGTTTGTGTGTATACTTGCACCTTGTGTTTTTAAAATGATTGCAAATATATGTGTAACAAAACAATGGCCACTTCAGCAATCTTTGTAGGCATGACTCAGTGACATCAGTTTCATTCATTATGTTGTTCAACCCTAACCTTTATCCGTTCCCCACATTTTCTACCCAGTACTGTTTTAATTATACCCCTACAGGGGAATTAACAGACTAACTATGGCTATTTTCAGATTAGCATTAGGCCCAGCATTAAAGAAAAAAAAACCCCAAAAAAACACTGAAATGGATTTCTGTAGTTTTAAAATTAGACCTTTTCAGTTATTTCTAATGGAATCAACCTCACAGCTTAAGACTGTGTATCCTTTATATATATATATATATATATATAGTATATATTTCCTAGACGGCCTATTTGCTTGGGTATCACTGACAAACTACAAGCAATATTTTGATTAAAAAGAAAAAAACCCACTCCCTGCCATCGAGTGGATACTGACTTCTAGTGCGTCCACTCACAGCCACCCTCTAGGACAGGGTACAACTGCCTTGTGGGCTTCCAAGTCTATAAACCTTCACGGGAGTAGAGCGTCCTACCTTTCTTCCTCTGAGTGGCTAGTGGTTTAGAACTGCTGACCTTGTGGATGGCAGCTTAATGCATAATGACTACGCCAACGGAACTCCTTGATTTTAAAGAAAGTCGGCTCCCCACCCCCCTCCAAAATAAAAAAACAAACAATGAACTAGAAAGAGTGGACAGATTTTAGCCCCCAAAATAAGTATGTGCTAAATAGTTATTTACTTTGAGGTATTCTTATTAGGTGTCTGATTTACCATTAGGTAGTATGGAGTTAGCTGTACCCAAAGAATTTGGTTCCTGAGAGAGAACCTCTAAGACTTTGGAATTTCCTCAGTGACTCAAGTATCTTAAAGACTTCCAGGCCACACCTAGCCTAACAGGTTATCATGGGTTGAATTATGGACCCCGTCCCAAGTATGGATCAGTTTGGCAAGGTCATGCTTCTCACTCTGATGTAATCATCGCCCATGATGTGAAATGATGTCAAATGGCTGCAAGGGGATTAGAGTGAGGAGACAACAGCTCCATGCTCCATGTAAGGGGCGTGCCCCTTGGGTGTGCCTGCATCATCTTGTATCCTACAGGAGATAAGAGGGGAGAGAAGAAAGCAGGGGAAGGTTGGTGCCAAGACACATGGAGATCTTCAAGGGACACTGGGTCCAAAACGTAAAAGGAGACAAGGACCTTCACCTAGAGCCAGCAGAGAGAGAAAGCTGCCCCTGGAGCTGACACTCTTTTCTCATGTTAGCCTCCTCAACGGTGAGAGGGGACATTTCTGTTATAGCAGCACTAGATAACAAAGTCAAAGTTTATGCAAATGAGGGGACTCTGGGATGGGGCTGAACAGCTAGAAAGACCCACTGTGTGATATCGGTTGAGGTCAGGGAAGAGAGGCTCTGTTTTGGACTGTACCATTAGGCCCCCGTAGCTCTGGACATGGGCGCTCCATGGGCTTTCTTGGTGGAAGATGTTGGTAGACGTTGATTCATGTGGGAGGCTGGGTAGCACATTCCCTTTCTGGGACATGGGAGTTCTGCGGTAGTAATCCTTCAGACCCTGACTTATGTGTCTTGTTATAATAAAACTTCAATGAAAATTCTAGTGCTTTGTGTGAGTTCTGTGAGCTATTTTGATGAATTATAGAACACAAAGTGGTGGGAGCCAGCCCCCTCAGAAGGGAGTGGGGTGATATCTTGAAGGAAGAGTGGGGAAATCTTTAATATGCAGCCAGCAGGTGAAAACAGGTGTCATCGGGACTCCTACGTCTGAAGCTGGTCTCTGGTGTTAGGCAGAGTTAGTCAGTCTGAAGGACCATGCCATTTAATTTCTGAGGCATGACCCAGCTCGGCGGTTAGGGTTTGAGGGTCAAGTGCTGCTTTTGTAGCTTGTGTCAGAACATAAGTGGAATGATGGGAGAACAGAACTGATAATGAATTAAATGGATCCTTACGCTTTGATGAGAGAAGTGGTGTTTTGTTTTTCCATGCAGGTAATGAAATAATCTATGCACTAACCTACTAAATCTTCCCTGGAGGCAGCAGAACGTGGTGTGCTTGTCCCTGGCTCTATCTTTAAGGAAAGCCTGAATTAAAAAAAAAAAAAGATACATCAAATGATTAATAGTTCATAATTAATTAGTTACTTAGAAAAAAATTAAAACATTTCTATAAAATAGCTATATATTTTTAAGAGCACATAGTAGATAATGGTTAAGTCTCTTACCTCTTTCATTCTAAGTCAATCTTACAGTTATTCTAGGGATTATTAGGGAGAAAGAACATTAAAATTGTTTATTTTAAAACATTAAAATCTCCCCCTAAACTAAAGTTGCCAAACAATTCAAGAGATTTAAAAATATTTGTTGAAATGACTAAAAGGTTTGAGGTCATTGATACCAGACATTTAAATTCCAGGAACTTTCACATATACATGAAACATTCGGCAAATTATTTTAAGAATCTTTATTAGATAAACTACTGGCTTGATTGTATCCACTACTGTTAAGTCAATTCCGAATCACAGTGGCCCTATAGGACAGAGTAGAACTGCTCCTTAAGATTTCTGAGACTATAAACCTTCATAGAAGCAGATAGCCTCATCATTTTCCCATAGTGTGGCTGGTGGGTTTGAACTATCGAACTTGTGATTAGCAGCCCAACACCTCTGTACCACAGGGTTTGATTGTAGCACTGAAAACTCCGAAAACACCTTATTTAAAACTTACCAACTAATAAACCAAACAAACACAACTCAATCAAAATAAGGGTCAATCCAGATATAAAAGTTGTGGGCAAAAGCCTTGGTAAAACTATGCCACAGTTTATTAGTTCCATTTAGTAGATCGCATTCAGTTTTGAGTTCCACAGCAAACGATAGAATTATTCCTCTCAGTGGAAACTATTTCAGAAAACCGGGCAGGAAAAACATTGTACAAAATATACTGTGCTGTAGCCCAGGGCTCTATTCCTGAGCACTTGCCTGAAAATTAATAAAAACTGTTTAATATTCTCTCAGCTGGAACATTTATGAAACTTCACAATTCAACGATACTCACGAGAGAGGAACACATTTGAGATCTTAAAATCATCATTTGTTTGATAACCCAAGAGGAAATTACGTGTGATTATACTCCAACTATATGGCAAGGTAAAATCTACATATTGAAAACACGACTAACAACAACGATTTCATTTTTAAAGAAGCCGTTTCCTTCTGTCATTTAGGCAGCAGACTGTACCGCACTCATCGGTTTTGATATTCTTTAACCCCATGTCGCGTTAGGTACTATGCTCAGGGCCGTGGCTGTAATAGAGACCAAGACATGGTGTCCTTGCCCTTCTGAAGCTTCTCATTGAGGAGACAAAGGGGTCAACAAAATGATGGCAATTTTCCTATTGCAGCCCAAGACAGATGGGAACAGAAAGGGGTGGAAAGAGAATTGCTGGGTGAATCCCAATGCTGCGCGCAGCAGTGCTCACTGACAGCAGTAGAAAAACAACACAGAAATGACAGCTAGCCAAGGGCGTCAGTCGTGAGCAAGGTCATCACACTACTATTTCGTAACTCACAGGGAGGCTGGTTCACGGAGAGAAGATATTATCTTCTGTGCTAAAATCAAATACAGCGTGGAACCATTTTCATGTGATGGAAACACACACATGAAGCCTGCACTGTCTGAGATTGGCTGTAGTACAGATGAAGTTGCCAAAAAGAAGTGTCATTTTTATTACAAGACTTTTCATCATAAGAAACAAGCACTACTTCCCACCCTGCTCCCGCCCACTAACAAATCCACTGGTTCCAAGTTATAATGTTCCAGAGCAGCCTTTCTCACCCTGTGGGTCGCGACCCCTTTGGGAAGGGTTGAATGACGCTTTCCCAGGGGTTGCCTGATTCATAGCAGTGGCAAAATTACAGTGACGAAGTCACAAGAAAAAGATTTTATGGTGAAAGGGTTGTGGCCTGAGGAAGGATGAGGCCCACCGCTCTAGAGGTTCCCGTGAGCGGTAACCACACTTTCAACTTGTGTAATGTCAGAGGCTCACGAAACACAGTGCCTCTGCACAAGAACAACAAAAACAGAAGCTAATCTCTTCCGGGCCTTCAACAAAACCAATTCGTGTCCTCACCTCATTCCATTCGCAGACCACACCTTCTCTTACCCTTCAGCAGGGACCCTAACTCACCTGCTCAGATCCAGCTCAGGTGACTGTTTCCTGAAACTGTTCCTTTCCTTTCTCGCTTTTTTTTTTTTTGGTGGGGGGGGGGGGTATTTCATGTTTATTTCAAACAAAATGTGTTTAAAGATGTTCTGTGACCAGCGGTTGGCTGCACACAAGTTGATCAAGTAACCCCCTGGTCTTGGTATCACTGGGGGGAGGGGAGGGTTACTTTTCCTTAGAAGAGGGATCCGCCCCGCCCGCCTGGCCCTCAGGCAGGTTGCAAGCGTACTGCTCACACTGTCGTGTAATTGTTTGGTGTATGTGTTACATTGGGCTGAGGTCAAGAACAATATTTTATTCATTTTTGAAATGTCTGCAATCAACACAAAGGATAATCACTAACTTAAGGAGCCCTTGCAGCAAGGTAAGCAGTTCAAAACCACCAGCGGCTCTGGAGTTGAGAGGCTTTCTACTCCAGGAAAGAGTTACAGTCTCAGAAACCCACAGGGCAGTTCTCCCTTGTCCTTTGGGGCACCAGGAGTAAGAATGGACTCAGTGGCAGTGACCTTGCGGGGTGTTACTATGGATGGAAGCTATTACTGTCTTTCCCCCCTCCAGTACATCTTATTGTTAGTGGTACGTTACAGTACATAACCTGCCAATGTTCTCATTCTCAGCTACCTATCCACTCACAAGTGTTTAATTTTATGACTTCTTGTTCAAAACACTGCTGGGTTTATAAAAATACTGATAAAAGGGCAGTAACAATAATTAAAACAAAAAATTAGGTATTCAGTTCATGTCAGAACTGATGTACCACGAAGAACGCTTGATCCTAAGTTGAGGACTATGTGTACTTTAAAAACAAACATAGGGGGCAAGCTGCTCTGGTCCCAGCTACTCATGAAAACAGAAACCAGCAGGTGCAGCAGAGCCGCGAGCTCACTCCCAGCCACGCTCTATCTGTAGTGTGTTCCGTTCACAGGCATTTTCATAGTCCGCTCATCAACAGTTACCTAGTGGCTTTTCAGCAAAGTCAAGGTGATCTTCAAGAAAACACTTTACTTTTACAACTGTAGTTAAATATTACCATCTTCTCTAACTGTACAGAAACACCTTAAGCTTCACTGCTCCTTAATAGTTAAAATGTAGTTTCTCTTAAATTCAATACATTTCTTGAGCCAGACAGATTTTTAATAGTTCACTCATATTTTGGGATTTTAAGGTAATATCCTCTGTACTTGGTTAGAAAGCCTGTGTTTATTACACATTAAGTGTTGCACCAGCAAGGAGAGAGACAGGATGAGAGGCAGTGAGAGATATGAGAGATTGGAGATAGACTACCAAGCTCAAGAAGTGCATAATCTAAGGCAACAAGAGATTTTTAAAACAACCTAGACGAAAATAGATCCATCGACTCCATAGATTTTCAAACGAATTATCATGCAAAATCGTTGCAAGACAAAAACTGGTATGGAAATAATACCACTTTAGAGGTAATGTTAGTGAATGGGAGAAGGCAATAGATAACATATAAGGATATTTTCAGAGTTTCTGCAATTTATAAGCAGTTTTAAATTTCACTTTTTTGTTGTTTAACCAATAGATACATGTGATATATAGTCACAGTGTAAATTGTGCTATTACAGCAAAAATAGCTTAGATAATAAAAATAATAATTTACATTTTAGTAGCACTTACAAAACTGACATCGTTCCATGTGGCTATGTATTATATCATTTGGTCCTTATGCCTGTTCTAAAAACATGACCACTTCCTGAATCTGCCATCATTCTTGCTGTGCAAGGACCACTCTCATCTCTGGCCTGCTCACATTTCAGTGTGTGTTACTGAGGAGAGCGCTGTGTTTAATATCTGATGGAAAGCAATTACAGCTGCTTTTTGGAATTTCTAACCTTTAATGGGGCTAATTCTGCTCTGCAGAATCCTTTAAAAATTGTTGCTACCTATGAAATAGGGAAGTTGATAATCTCCCCCACAGGAGACTGAAAAGATGGACAATTATATTCATGTATTGCTACAGAAGAACAATGTGTCTTTTCACTATGAGAAAACCTTAAAATAGAAAAACATTGTAGTAAAGTTCTCCTTAAAGGTTTGTGAACAATTGACTTAATAAAGCTAAGCAAAAATATTTGTAAAATTAATACAGCTAACAGAGAAATGAAAAGCCTCAAGAGATGAGCTCCTTATCCCCACACCTTCAGAGAACCCCAGCTGATCTACGCCACACAACGGAATGAGATCACGAGTCAGTGATTTAAACCCACCCTCCCCTCGCCTCACCTTGGATAGTCCTTTTCAAGTGGAAAGGAGAAGGAAGTGGGCATCAGTGATTTATAAAATACATTGTGATGACAGAAAGCAAATGTAAAACCAAACAAAATGCCTTTACAACTGGAAACTGACCACTGTATTAGACACTTGCATGGCATTTATAGGATACAATGTTGATGTTGAACACTCAGAGATGGAAGGGTGGAGGGCAGGACAAAGTCATACAAAACACCTTTCAAGATCAAACCTACTTGTAATTATCATCTTCCACAAACTTCTGTAGTTCTTCTATATATTGCACAGAGTTCAGGTATTTTTGGACATGAGGCAACATGGGAATATCTAGGCAAAAGGTGAAGAACAATTATCCTATGAGGTACATTTTAACTAAAACTTTAGAAAGTTAACTTTAAAAAGAATAAGTATTTATCTTATCACAGGCCTCTTAAACAGAAGTTGGAAATTTGAGAAAAATATTTTTTAAACTAAATTAAGACCAGATGGCACCCAAATTTCAATTAACTCTAGGAGGACATTACCGAGGTAAACGTGTTTGATATTAAACTGGAGATAATTTAGAAATCATACCTGGGCCGTAATAAAGAAACCAGTGAGTTATAGAAAGCATTGCTAACACAGATAAAAATCACAGTTACATGCTATTTGCATCATATTTTATAAAATGGTTCCATTTTTAAAGTCTCACTTGTTCAGCAATCTCATAGGAAAAATCGGGGACTTTATTTTAAAAGCAAGATGTAAAGAAAGGTGTTTTGTTTGGGGGAGGGGGGAGGAGGGGATTAAAGAAACGTAGCTCCCCGGGGAGGGAGGGGAAAAATGAGGACTTAAAAGAAACGTAGCTCCCAAGTGTAAATGTGTTTCTCCCTCCTATATACACATTTTAAATAAGTTAGATTTAGCACTATAATTTGTTGTGCTTAAAAAACTGGAAAACAGCAAAAGTAAGAAATTATTTTATTTAATTTTTACTATGATACTCTCCCCTTCCCTAGACACATTTTTGGGTATAGATGCATACAAATAAAGTTAGTTTTGTGACAAATTCATTTTAAATAAACCAAATGAGATGATCTCATTGTTTTAAATAGCATACAAATGATCTGTGTGATCTGCTGAGCATATTTTGACCATTTGGGTTATCAATGAAAGCATAATGGAATCCGTTGATTCTTAATGGTGCCAAGATGGAAGGGAAAGCGACAGCCTTCAGACGATTAACAGTAAAGTGAATATGGACACAGAGTTCTCAAGTCAAATGTAAAAGGGGTTACTGTACTGTTAAGCATAACAACACAGCTTGAAATTTTCCCAATACGAACGGATGTGAAACAAACATTAAAAACATAAAAAACAGCCAACTCTTCTCCTTATCAAATTTGAAGCACCCAAGTTAATATTAAAAAACTAAGCCAACCCCCATTTTCTAATCATTTGGTTTCCCTGTCCAAAAAAATACAGTCTGGAAAGTAATGGTTCTTTACTCAATATCATGATCTAACTTAAAAAAGCTGAAGAATAAAAAGCACAAAACTAAAAAGAATTAAATGGGAATAAAAATAGTCATGATCTGCCTCCCGGTGAGGATGGGCATCCACCGATGGCCCTCCTGGCTGCGTTAAAGGCGGCCAGTGGCTGCGTGTGGGAATGAATCCACAGAACGGCAGCCCGGTCTGTAATGGCGAAGCCCCAAACCCCAGACACTTACCGTATTCGCAGGACTGCTGTAAATCGGAAATTATTCTAAGGATGTTATTCATTAAATTTGATCTTTGCTCATTTTCTAGAATGCTGCCGGTTGACGGGTATGCAGAGTCAATATATGTCAAATCTGACAAATAGATACCTGAAACAGAATAGATGAATGAGTTTTGTCTTAACTAGTTGTTTGGAAGAAATGTGAAAAAAGCAACGGGCAGAGGGAGTTCATTTGTAGCTATATTTCAATATGTCATATTTAAAATACAGCTATTAATATATGGCAGCCTTATCGCACAACCACTAAGATCTAGTCATAGAGCATGGGGGAGCACACTTGCATCTTGCAAAGTTCTCACTTAATGAAATGTCTCCTTAGGACCATTCAAAGCAAGCCTTGAGCCGAGAGCTGCGGAGGAACTCTGGGATAAAGCAGCTGACTTCCTGATGGGATGCGCACGGTGTACAAAGAAGGCAGTTACTTTAATCGCTCTGAATCACAATTTCTTGCATCTGTATATAGCTAGTAGCAATTTTCCAAGTTGTGGGAAAGCCTGAAGAAGTTAATGAGAGTTCTGTACCCCTTACTGTGCGCCGATAACTATTATTACAGCCGTAACTATTTTGAACACTGCCTCATTTGGGTACAAAAGCCTTAGATTTTAAATATCAACAACACGATTTCCGAAACACTTCATGCGCCTATAAATGGAAGTGACTGCTTTCCTACTCCTGGTGTAGAGAGTTACACCAACAAAAATTAACACAGCTCCCAAAAGAATGTGGTTGGACAAGCCCATGCCAAGTCACTGTTATAAAGAGGTTTGAAATGTGTATAAGACACACACAGCACAATAGAAGATATGCTTTCCCTCCTCACCTCTGTACTCCAGGTTCATGAATTTTCAGAGCAAATGCAGGGTAATGAAGTACTCATCTTCCAAATAAGCCCTATGCTTTCCTCACGTCCTTTCCACTCATCTTGGCTCAAATCTTAGTGTCTTTCAAGTTATTGGCTTAGTGTTAGCTATTTTCTGGTTTTCTCACAGGTTTGAAGAGAATTACCATTTAGAAGTTGTTGAGTCTAGTCCCCTTTTTCTATAAAGATCCACAGAACGTGGGCATCTAATGCTACGTCAACCTGCTAGTGAGAATGGGATTGCAAAGTGACTTCCTTGTATTGCACACTGCTATAAATGAATACACCATCTATGCCATTCACTGGATAATTTTTATGACTTTATAATCTCATTAAGCTGTCTCAAATTTATATCTTATCTGTTCAAGATTATAAACCACTTAAAGCAATGACCCTAATCTTGCACTCCAAGACATTCAATGAAAATCCCCAGGTGGCGTCTTGGCACAGCAGCCCAGTGTGACAGCCTAGAACTAGGCCCCAGTGCTTCCTGGGCTGTTAGCTTTACTGCAGCTGAGAGCGGGTCGCCTCCTGTGGCACGGCTGGTGAGTTTGGCCCCCTGACCTTCTGGTTAGCAGTCATTAAGGCCCAGGTTTTGACAATACGTACTTCAATTTTGCTGGTTGGCATGGCAAAGCTTTCTCATTTAGTATCATTTGGTCCCACTCAGTAAATCTTTGCTGCATCCTTTAGACCACCTAGCATACCACTACCATTTAGTTGGGTTTCCGCAACTGCAATTATTTACAGGAGTAGAAAGCCCAGTCTTTCTCCCACGGAGCTGCTGGTGGCTTTGAATAGTCGACCATGCGATTTGCAGCCCAACTCATAACCACGACACCACCAGGGCTCCACACCTACCACACAGACTCCTTTTTTTTCTTTCATAGAATCTCAACTTTTTCGATGACTCAAATGAATCAACCTACAACCTAGCTTCCTCTAATATTTCTCCAATATTTTTGTCTCTAGTATTGCTCTCAACCCACGGTTTTCCTTTCCCAGACTCAATTAAAATAAAAACACAAACACCCACTGCTGTTGACTCGATGCTGACTGATGGCACTTGCAGGTGAGTCGGGGCAGAGCTGCTCCAACGGGGCTCGCAATGGCTGCTCTCTCAGTCAATCACCAAACCTTTCTTATGAGTGCCTCTGGGAGGACTCAAATCACTAAGCTCTGCTCAGCAGCCCAGTTTATCAGGGATTTGCACTACCCAGAAAATATTTAAAAAGCTAAGCAAAACAAAACACAGTCACTGCCACTGAGCGGATTCTGACTCACAGAGACCCTGCAGGACAGAGCAGAGCTGCTTCCGTGGGTTTCTGAGGCTGTGAGACAGACTCATCTTTCTCCTGAGGCGGTGGCGCTGGTAGTTTCAAAGGTGCCTAGCAGCCCATCAAGTAAGCCCACTACACCAGCAGGACTCCTTTCAAGGGCTACAGACACATTTCCCAGTGAAGGCAACAAAAGCAACCCTTCTTTCAGATGGCACCAACCTCTATTCACAACAAATTCTTCATCACAACCACCTTCAGTTGCCACACGAGTAGCTTTTAAAGCACAGACCAGGCTTTGAGGCTTCTCTTGCATTAAAGTATTGCTAAATAAGAACTATATACACCGTTGCCTTACCTACACACTTCAACTTATAGATGTAAGAACCACTCTTGTTCATCGCCTAGGAACTGCCCTTCCATTACCCACCGCACAAACACGTGTCATAACCCTTACAACAGGCAGTCTCTGACTTACAAAGGGGCACTGCACCAGTGGCTTCCTCACTAGGTGGTTTCTGACATAAGCTGAATATCTCATTTTGAAGCTTTCATCAATATCAGTAACTTTACAAACCCAACCTTTGTTTTTGGGGGTTGAGAAGGTTAGTGGTTCAAACCCATCAGCCATTTGATAGGAGAAGGGATGTGGCAGTTTGCTTCTGTACTAAGTACAGCCTCAGCCACCCCAAGGGGCAGAGTTCTGCTCCATGGCAGTGAGTCTGATCTAGGGATTGGAAACATCACATTGAAGACCAATGGATACATGTTAACCTTGTAAGTAGTTTGTCACTAATAGCAAATGTACAAAAAAATTCCAATTTTATTATTAAAAAACAAAGCCCAAATGACCCTAGTGTGGTTTGTTGTAATTCAAAGTCTGTTGTAAGTTGGGGACTACCTGGATTTTTCATTATTATTTTAATTCCGGTTTACTTCACTTATTTACATAACTTGCTTCATGCTTGTGAGCATTTAAGTATGTATGCCCTTGAGTTTTCAACTTTGTACTATTATTTATTTCATACCTAAACAAAACCCACTGCTATCGAGTTAATTTCAACTGAGTTGGAACCTGACAGGTAAGGGCGAGCTGCTGCCCGAGGGTTCCTGAGACTTCCTCCCAAAGACGGAGAGAGACACAGTGCTAGTCTGTCCTGTGGCTGGCTGCTGGGTTTGCAGCTGAGAGCTTTAACTACTGTCCCACCGGGGCGGCTACTACTTAATAGCAAATGAATTTTAGAAAAAGAAAGGAAGGTTAAGAATCAAGCTGTGAAAAGGTAGAAATGAAGCTCAGACCTTCATTTAGGATGCAGATCAACAAACACTAGATGGTAGGACATACGAGAGGAAAATAGCACATGGTACATGTGGGTAGGGAGAAGCCAGAATGCTAAATCTGTAATTACCGGTACACAATCCACCGAAGCGAATATAGCCCAGCACTTTGGAGTGTGGCAGTTCACGTGCGGGTTCTGTCACTTGCCTAGCGACTATCTTGTTATGCAACACTTTGCATTTATGATGACCACAGTAAAAACCTAGCCAACTGTTTTGTACGGTAACAACCTGTGCCTGGCAGCGCTGAGCGCCTGCCTAAGTGATGAGGTGAGAGTAACGCTGGCTGTGATGGTTAAGGTCATGTGTCAACCTGACGGGGCCAGGATTCATCGCGGTTTGGCAGTTATGTAATGATGCAAGCTGTCAGTCACCCAATGATGTGGCCATCCTGCCTTTTCGCATCATGCTGATTTTCATTTAACAACCTGATCTGTCTAGGGGAATCATGCTGGTAAGGAGTGGGTGCAGTTAAATGTACTTGAAATGACTAAGATTGTGTTTCTTCACATATTAAGATATTTTTTAAAACCGACTGCCGGCCATAGGACAGCCCCTGTGGGTTTCCGAGACTAACTCTTTAAGGGGGTAGAAAGCCTCATCTTTCTTCCAAGATACAGCTGGTGATTTTGAACAGCTGACCTTGCAATCAGTAACCCAAGGCGTAACCACCAGGGCCTCCCCATTTAAAAACATTTCTCAATGTGAAAATAACAGCACAGCTGGTGCACAATGATTAATCCCTTCTTCAGCACCCGTTTCAAAGCAGAGGAAAAGTGGAGCAGACGGCACGTGTAAGTTCATAGCCAGTGGAGAGTCAGAAATCCCATCTTTGCCCTCACGCCAGGGATATGCTTGCTGTTAACCACACCACCGTAACAAGAACGACCTTACAGAGACAAGAGCAACAATACTGTAGAAGAGGAGATGGTCACTCTTTATTATTTTAAACCAGAATTTAAGTTTAAAAAGTATTACTAACTATTAAGTTTAGGAAAAGAATCTCCTACGGTAATTTCTAGTAGGCTTTGACAATGATATCTAGAAGCCATTTTATCCGAAGAGACGTTACACCATAGGATGACATATTACAACATCATCTTTCTTAGACGTTTAAGACCTTGTAAAATGGCAACATAAGGGTTGCCTCCTGACCAACTGCAGCTCGTTTTCTGAACAGAAGGCCAAACATCAGCCTGTAACGACCGCTGAGTGAAGGTGAACACTAAATGTGCATTAGTGCTTTCTTCTCCAGTGCTCGCCAGCCAGCAGACTGGGAGGTTTGTCTTATAACTACCCCATGACAGTTTGTTTCCAGATGGTGCCCTTTCTTCAACCCGCACATAATCTCTCCTTGTTCAGAACTCGTCAGCCTCCTGCTGATCCCCCCACCCCGATTTAAGGGACCAGAGAGGAAATCCTAAGTAGAGTCCCATCCGCCTCCTGACCCCGCCCCCAGTTTTGAGCAATTTTTTTTGGTGACGTAATATGTGGGCTGAACTTGAGTCTCCCGAGAAGGCAAGGAAATCACAGTTAGGGGCAGTGCACACACTGTCTGGTCAGCTGCAGCTGGTTACTGCACTCTCCATGTGGCAGGCGGAGCAAAGCCGCAATGCCTTCTCTGCTGGATTAAAGGCAGCCCGCAGACCAGAACTGCCACTGCACTACTTAAAATCACATAGGAGGCTTGTCAAATTCGACTGATTGGGGCTCTAAGAAGAAGAAGAACAAAAAGACGTTCCTTATTACAGCTCGGACTCATCGGCCGCAACAAAAATGCAGTTGCCATTAGACTCCCCGAGGAACAAACTTCAACCCTGATTTCTAAAACCGAGACTCAGGGCAGCACGTTTTGGAATTCACTTTATCAGCAGACAAAAAAGGTATTTTAATATTTCTTCTGTTCTTATTTAAAAGACTATGTATGTTGACATGCATAATTACTTCACGTCTGGAGCAGCAACTTCCAAATCTCTTACAAAGCAAGGAACTTTGGAGCACATCACAATGCCGTGCAGGTTTTGTTTTGCATTTCTATGTAAAAGCTGCATCTTATGTCAGTTATGAGGTTGATGTTCCCATTATTTGAGGCTCCATTTGTTGCACAGGATAACAGATTTGTTGCATAGAATAACAGACGGATGCATGCCTGCTGAGTCTCAGAAAGCAAGTGCTTTAAAAACTGACTGGAAAGAAATGTTAGCAGGTAATGAAATTCAATGTATATGGTTTCTAGCACCTGGATTAAAGAGATTCAAACTAAGGAAGACAGCTGTGAAAAACGAACAGTGTCTTCCTCTAAGCACAGTGTGTGTGTTTAGGATTCATACAGACACAATACTGAATTTCTCAACGCTGCACAACGGCAAGGCTTTATAACACCTCAGAGAGCAACCAAGTATCAAGCAGAAAATCTTTTCAAAAATGTAAAATACACCTATGGTATTTCTTGCTATGAACCCAAATTTTAAATAACTTTCTAGGCTTCACATTAACAGTAATTTCACTTTGGCAGAAGAAAGTAAAACTGCTACATAGCTAAAATCATTTGGAAAAGCTGAAATATATTAGTACATTAAAAACCTAATCCCTTATGGATTAGGATTAGGGTTGTGTTGAAAATATGACAGAAGTATAATAATTTAAGTGGTTAACATTAACAATAGGAAGTAAGAATTGAGAAAATACAACTACTTAAGAACACAATTAAAAGGCAACATAAATTTTTTAAAGAGATTTTTGGTGGCCTTCAAGATTATACCTGAAATTTATTTATTTTTTTAATTTAAGAAGTAAAAGTTGCTAAAGTGATATGGGGGAAAAATTACACCTGAAGGCTTTGCTTAATATTACTGTGCGAATTACTAAAAGAATAAAATTAGTTGCCGATAGCAATTTTAATGCCAAAGGCAGTCGGTTATAATTTGGGGACCCTCTGCCCTTTAAGCAGTAAAGACATTAATGGAATCTTTAATAAACAACTAATAGTAAAGCAAAGATGGTTCAACTTTGCTTTCATAGCCTTTCCTCCAAGATTCAAAACTGTTCCGAGGGACTGGATACGGAGAAGGGCCTTGGATAACCACACATTAGTTTACATGAGATTGGGCTAAAATTCCCAAGCAATCAAGGACCCGAAATGCTTGTCATCTCTCTCGTCCTCCGCTATGGAAAGTGGAGGACCTCATTAAGCCTCAACTTGCTCGTCGGAAGCCTCAGGCAGTAGTCACTGAGGCTGAAACCCAAGTCATAGCAGGGGCTTCTCCCTTTGGTTCCTACCGTCCTGGGATAAGGCGGTTCTCAAGTCTCTTTCCAGCATATATTTCCCAATCTAGAAGCCCTTATCTAATGTGTCGTCAGTGCACAGCAGGGCCAGTACGTGGCCCTACAAGTTACCATCTGAAAGGAAGTCAGTCCTGACTTTTATTTGTGCTAGCTGGCAGCATAGCAACTCTGAAGAAAAACAGAACGGATAAAATTAACCGGGCGCATGGAAAACATTCCCACCCCTTCTCCCCACCGGCCCCCTAAAAACAACCAAGCAAAGATGTCGATTTAGACTTAAGTATTCTATAACTAATTTATAACACTCTCTTGGGACCTAAGAAAACTTTAACACATACAGAGAGGTTTTTATGAGGTAACGTAGATTTATGGATCTTTCCCTTTTAAAACTGAAAATATGTGGGAAAATATTAAATAAGAGAACGTTTGAAAGAAAATGCAACAGTAAATGCATTTGTTAAATAAACTCTTTACTGGCGATTTGAATTAAAGTTTTAGGAGATCCATGGCTCTTCTATGAAAAGTAAATGATGTAACTCGTCTATTGCTTAAGAACTGTGGGTCCTTGCTCTGCTTGAGGGAACAACGAAGTCATTGCTTTTGTAAGAATAAAGGAAGTACATTTATTCATTTTTTAAGATGAATCTTCGGGGTTTTTTTAAATTGTAAATTAGGTGGGGGCTTATATTATCAGATCATCATTTTTTGAAGTCACTGTTTTAAACAACTCATAAACTCTCCCAATGGCTTGCTCTGTTCCCCAGCGCCCCAACCCCACCCCTTCCCGCATCCTCTTGTAGTATATGATCTTCCATTGGTGGTGCAGTGGTTACGGTGTTGGGCTTCAATCTGGATAGTTGGCAGTTCAAAACTACCAGCAGCTCTGTAGTTATAGTCTCAGAAAACCCAAACAGTTATAGTCTCAGAAAACCCAAAAGGGGCGTCACTAATGAGTCAGCATTGATTCGATAGCAGTGAGTTTGGTTTTTTGGTTACTAAGGTTAACATCTATCTACTCTCTAATGCTAAGCTACAGCAGATGCTCGTAGGGTGGGCCATGCTCAGCTTTACCAGGGACTATAGTGAACCAGCAGGAGCCAACACAGAACAGCATAAGGAAGCTACTGCTATCTTTGTTGAGGTTAGAATTTAACATACACTAGTTTACCTAGCAAGCGCTGTGAATGGAAACTGTTCCATTCCACCACTAGCCACAAAATTCTATATTTCTTTGAAGTTTCATATTTTCTGAATTTCCCTTACTTTCTCCATAGTCTTATTTCAGAACATATTACTCAAATAATTTGGGGCTCTAAGAGCGCCCATACTATTATTAATGGAAAACGAGTCCATGACAGCATTAGGCCAGTTGGCTCGGGAGGAGGAAGGCTGGACCTTCACTCACAAGGATGGCTGCTCTTACCTGACCATATTGAAATTCCATGAGCCCATAAATACAAAGGCACTTCCTAAAAACCAGTTTTCAGTAGAGATAATGCTTATGTAGTAAAAGTCCTTAAAAAGAAACACTAACAAAGACGAATCTTAAGGTTTAAGTTTTCTACCATTGCCGAAGGCAAAGTACAAAAAACCCCATTAAAAATTACAAGTAGTCATCCAAGAGGAATGTTGTTATACCCACCCTATCTTGACCAAGTTAGTAAAAGAAAAATAATTCTCAGCATTGCACCCATTCTTCACTTTCTTTTTTATCCAATCTTGACAGCACTGTCGTACTTGAGAAAACACGCGCACACCTGATTGTAGCAGCCCTCTTCATGACAAACACGGAGGCCTCGTGGTACTGACAGCCTTTCTGCTGTGGAGGGCTTGTAAGCACACATTAAAACCAGTTGCTGTCAAGGCAAGACGTGACTGGGGCTCCATAAGGCTTTTCAATCTCCCAGTTTTGGAAAGTAGAGGACAAGCTTGTTCTTGACTCTCCCATCTTTTAGCTAGTGGCTCAGTAGGTTAACCACTGTTACTACATGGGGCTCCAAAATCTCAAATCAGACATGTCACTATCAATTGATAGACAGATGGGCCAATCAAAAGGTATTGCTACTAGGGTCCTAGTTCATACATGCATGAGTCTATTCCAAACGAAATGTGTGTAAGTATGACCAACCAGTGGATGGCTGTAGACAATGCTCCCAGTAATCCACTTGACTTAGTCTTCTTCTTCTTTTTGTGCCATGGGGGAAAAGCTACATATCCAATTCTTAACAAAACTAAAGTGGACATCTTCCTTAATCACTGAAGTTTTGCAACAAGTTTACAGGGATGCTGCCCCACATGCAACATGTTTTTAGATGGAACAAGTGTTTCAAGCAAGGTTAGAGAGAGCTCAAAGATAAGCCAAGAGAGGGAAGACGGTTAACCATGACAAATGAAAAAACGAAAGCCCAGAAACAGGTGAAACAAGACAGGAGAATGACCACTGATGTGGTATCTACTGAAGATGGGATCTCATGCCATTCAGGATTTTCAAAATCAAACTAACTCCTTGGGCTCAGGCACGCTTAGAACTTGGTGGGTGCCAAAGGTATGGTGTGAAGATCAGCTGACTCTGAAGCTGGTCTTCCCATCTTTTTAAGCAAGATTGAAGCTAATGAAGATAATTTTACGGAACAAATCATAACCAGGGGCAGATCCTGGACTTACCAACATGATCCAGAGATCAAGATTCCAATCAAAGCAAGCTCCTGAGGGGACCTCCTGGGCTAGTTAAATTCAAAGGCAAATTGTAAGCTCAGGAGGTAATGGTGGTTGATTTTGGGGGGGCCCAGTGGGATAATCTTGATATACTTTCTCGACGGACACAGGATGATCACAGGGGCTTATGAAGAAGTTTTAAGAAAATGAGAAACTGGCCTGGTGAGGAAGAGGCCAGGAAACTTGGATCAAGAATCAGGGCCCCCTGCTTCTCCCCCATCCCATCATGACAATGTGGCCGCTCATTCTTTCAGAGCAGCAAGGACTTTCCAATGAGAAAAAGAAAACCCTTGGGAAGCCTGACCCCATACTCCCTACAGCCCTGATGCGACCCCTTCACACTTCTTTTTGGCCCTCACACTCACAGATCACTTAACAAGAAGCCGGTCTGAGTTCCTGCGTGCCAGAACCGCAGTGTCTATGTGGCCTAAGTCACAGAGCACAGGATTCTTTGGGAAAGGCTTAGAGATGGGAAACTGCCTCCAGAATGCGTGGACCCAGATGAAGAACGTGTCAGGAAACAACAGTGTGCACTTTGACATTTTTGTTTAATAAAGGCTTCTGTGTAGCAATACGTTTGGACCTGCCAGAGGCAAAGGGATGACAGCAAAAACAATGGGGGAAAATTCTGACAAAAATGACTCACAAATATTTTTGCATAATTAAGTAATGGGTCAAAGCAATAAAAGATAAACTAGCAAATGGAAGTGAAAAACAAGAAAGATCTGTGGTTATGACTTAGGGTAAAATAACAAGACAAAGATTAAAATAAAATTGGATTATGATAAGAGTTATAAGAGCCCTCAATAAAATAAAATTTTAAAAATAATAAACATTTTTTAAAAAGAAAAAAACAAACAAACACAGGCCTAGAAACTTTATGGGTCGGGGATATGAATCCTATTTGAATGTCTGGGCTTCTCCAGGATGCTGTTCATTTGAGATAAAAGGCAGAAGACTTACTTCACAGTCCTGTTGTGCATGCCATGCAATATAAGGAATGTGCAGTGTCGGTGGTAAACTGCCCCAGTGTGCAGTCATGTGCTGTGGTGGCTGACCACACGCACCCTGGAGTCTTCTGCTTCCGCGCAAAGCCTGGCTCTACCTTTCAGAAGCTGTATAACTCCTCAGTATCCAACTCTGGATGTCATACTCTTCACTGGAAAATGAAATCATAATAATCTATCTCAAGGGGTTGCAGTATTAAATGAATGAATGAATGCAATAGAGTGTTTAAAATAGTGCCTGGCACTTAACAAGCACCCAGGAAGCTGTAATTGTCATCAATGACAGCCGTAAACAACTTGGGACCTAGTTCCTCAATTCAACAAGTTCTCAGGTGGAAGACAGGCTAGAAGAGCTTCGACGCGGAGTATCGACTGTCACAGAAACTGAGATTTTAAAAGTGGGAAGGCAGGCTACAGTACAGCAGCTTGTTAATGAGCCAGGGGAGGGAAAACAGTTCACCCACTCTACTGCTACTACTCTTTCAGGAGTGACCAAAGAGGAAGAAGGTCGCTCTGGGCCTTAGAACTAGCTAGTGTTTCCTCAGAATGAAAAAAAAGCTACTAAGGAGGAGTCCTGTAGCACAGTCAGTGGTTGCACATTGGGCTATTAGACACAAAGTCAGCAGTTTGAAACCACCAGCCGCTCCAAGGGAGAACGATGGGGGATTTCTAATCCCATAAAGAGTTAACAGTCTTGGAAATACACAGGGGCAGTTCTACCCTGTTTTATAGGGTCTCTATGAATCGGCATCAATTGGATGGCCGGGACAAGGATTTCTCATCTGCCAAAGCAAGAACGAAGCAAACCAAACACACAATGCTCAAACTTTCTGGTTTCAGACGTGTCCAAACATCTCTTTGATTTGACAGGTTGAAAAAAACAAAACAAACCCCAAACACAGTAATACAGAGAACCAAGTCAACTGAAACTGCCCAGTACGAATATAAAACCCCGAGCAGTAAAGAGGCACACGACAACCTTAGAACTAGTTAGGCCAGGATGTTTTTATTAAGGTTTTGGAGGGGCACTGTGTACCACTTTTTATAATCTTCAGGTAACAAGTAAGCTCTTTAAAGGTGAGGCAGGTGCGTAATGAGGTTTCAAAAGCCCCACGGGCGTCCAGTGGTACATATCCATACCCAGGGACACCGGGCAGCCTCCAACCAACCGTTCAGCGGGCTGGGGAATAAAAGGCGTTACAGTAGGGTGGCAGAGGGGAGAGCGAGCCTCTGAAACTCAGCCTTCAAACACATGCCAGTGAACCTATCGTGTAATCATTATCATTTAATTCTGAATTTAAGAAACTGGAGGGTCAATTCTGCCACTGGGGTGTGTTTTATCAGCAGCAACAAATAACCCATTTTCCACTTCGGATACCTTCTTATAGTACTGACTTTAAAAGTAGCTTACTAATGGTTTGGTTTTTTTTACAACACCCTCCCCCACCCCTCCCCCAGGTCCCAACTGACGTGCTCCTCCAAAGACAGCACCGTGCAGCTCCTTTCAGCATGAAGGCTTTCGCCTGGACCCTCGGCACGCTCGCCTTCCTGCTGATGAGCGCTGACTGCTGCTGCGGGGGCCAGCTCAAAATATGGAAGACAACTCACCGGAGACCTCCTCGCGCAGCAGAGGGCAAGGAGGAGGTCAGGAAGTGTGCATACACGTTCCTGGTGCCGGAACAAAAAATAACAGGGCCCATCTGTGTCAACACCAAAGGGCAAGACGCAGGCACCATTAAAGACATGATCACCAAGATGGATCTCGAGAACCTGAGGGATGTGCTCTCCCGGCAGAAGCGGGAGATAGATGTGCTGCAACTAGTGGTGGATGTCGACGGAAACATCGTCAATGAGGTGAAGCTGCTGAGGAAGGAGAGCCGAAACATGAACTCCCGGGTGACCCAACTCTACATGCAACTGCTGCACGAGATCATCCGCAAGAGGGACAACTCCCTTGAACTTTCCCAGTTGGAAAACAAAATCCTCAACGTCACCACCGAAATGCTCAAGATGGCAACCAGATACAGGGAACTAGAGGTGAAATACGCCTCCTTGACTGATCTGGTCAATAACCAGTCCGTGATGATCACACTGCTGGAGGAACAGTGCTTGAGACTATTTTCCCGACAAGACACCCATGGGTCTCCTCCTCTTGTCCAGGTGGTGCCCCAGCACCTCCCTAACAGCCACCAGTACACTCCTGGTCTGCTGGGGGGGAATGAGATACAGAGAGATCCAGATTACCCCAGAGACCTACTGTCACCCCCGGACCTGGCGACCGCTCCCACCCAAAGCCCTTTCAAGATACCACCGGTAACTTTCATCAATGAAGGTGAGTGACCCCTCCTTGCTAAGATGACAGGTATCAGGTTAATAGGCTTGATGGTTTATGAAACAACACTCCAAAGAACTGAACTTATACCCCTCCCCCCTCCCAGCCCTGATTGGGCAACAGAAACTAGCATCACCGAACTCAAGCCCATTGCCATCAAGTTCATTTCCAACAAATAGTGAGACCTTTCCCATAGGACTGAGTAGAACAGCCCTAGAGGGTTTTCTAGCCTGGGCATCTTTACAGAAATTAAAGAAGTAAATGGCTACATCTCTCGCCTACAGAGGGGCTGGTCAGTACTAAGTGCTTAACTGGTGTGCCACCAGGGGCGCTATCTAATTCACTGCCATCAAATCAATGCTGGTTGAAAGGGCCACTATCCGACAGGGCAGAACTGCCCCTGTGTGTTTTTGTGAGACTGTCAACTCCTTATGGAGTGGAAAGTCCCATCTTTCTCCCATTGGGCGGCTGGTGGTTTGGAACTGTGGACCTTGTGGTAACCAGCCCAACTTGTAACCAATACGTCACCCAAAGCTCCTTATACCATGGCTCTATCAGGCCACCGGGTTGGAATGGACTTTCTTGAAAGCATATTTTGAGGCTCTAGGAGTTTATAAAAACACTTCTTTGACAGAGTAATCTCCCATCCAAATGTTTATAACATAAATTACCACCACTTTCTGAGACAAGAGTGAGCCCATGACCTGCTCCTAACCCCGGAGTAACTGTTCTGAAATAATCCTGTATGCCTTCTGCTCGGTCGGCACTCAGGCTCAGCCATCCTTTTATTGACTGCCATCCTCCTCACAAGGAACATTATGAACCTGTTTTCAATCTCCCTGCGCCTGTAATTACACTTCCTCCTCCGCATTCATTCGGCTCATTTCCGACTGCAGGGATTTTAGTGTCTGAAGTTCCTTCTTGCTATAACATCTGTGCTCAACACTTGGTCTGCAGAGCTCTCAGCCTCAAGAAACAATGGTATCCCTCCAGTTCTCTAGGGCTAAACAAGCTAATCACTCGCCCAAGTAAGTATTCATTAAACTAGTCTTGATTTTAATTCAATTAAATAAGGCTTATTCAATTAAATAAATCTTCATTAAAAAGCAAAACAAAATCCCCCCGCAAACAATGCACTGCATGGATCCTAAGACACCAATCTTCCAATTTAATTCTTCCCTCTTTTCATTAATTCAGCATCAGTCACTGATCTAGGTACCCACAATACAATGATGATGAATAATTCATATATTTTTTTGCTTCAGTTTACTAAGCTCACTGCCAACTCTTGAGTATTTTATAATTGCTGCACTGATTTTCTCATAAACCATCCTCTTAAATCCATTGTAAGCTCATCTACATCCTGCGAGTGCAGGGGGGAATCCAAATGCCCCAAAGTTAGAAAACAAAACAAAGCAGTATTAAGACACAGTTCATTCACTATGGAAAAGGCAAGGCAGGTAACTTTATATAAACTACAAAGTGACTTTCTACACCAACAACAACGAAATATAGGACAAAGATTGGAGAGAAATCCACTGTGAAGTATTTTCTTCCTTCCACTGTGGATACTATCGACTAGTCACATCTCAGCTGTCCTGGGCCTCTGTCTTCGGACTTGCTGCTTGTCTACGTCTTTCAATGGCATCTCATACCCTTCCCCTATGCCTCAGAAAAGGAGCCCTGGTGGTGTAGTGGGTAAAGGGCTTGGGCTGCTATCCACAAGGTTGGTGATTCAAACCTACCAGCCTCTCATACTCATTGGGAGAGAGATAAGGTAGTCTGCCTTCAAAAATATTTACCCTTTGGGGAACCCAAAGGGGTGGTTCTAATCTTTCCTATATGGTCACTATACATTGGAACTCATGCCTCATAATGAGTTCTTGTGTGAGCAAATGGCTAAGAGCTTGACTACATCTTCCAAAGGTTGGCGGTTGGAGTCCACCCAGAAGCACATCAGATGAAAGGCTTGGCCATCTATTTCTGAAAAATCACAGCCATTAAGATTTCATGGAGTTCTACGCTCACACACATGGGGTTGTCTACTTAATAACACCAGCTGTTTTGTTCTCCTTGCCCTTGAGGGTTGGGGTTGGGAACTAAGCCTCAAAAAGGTTTTCTTCAAGTTCTGCAGTGGAGGGCTCAATCACCTACTTCCAAGACTTCAACGATGAATCGCGACTCAGAGATGACTCCTGACTAGAGCGCTTCCCCCAATTCCAACCACTGCTGAATGCTTCATCTATGATTATATCCTTAGGGCAAATATTTGGGAAGTACATGGATGGATCTCAGGGTTAATACCTCCCTTTGCCATCCTGTTTTGATGTATGCCACGGATCTACTTCAGGATTAGCTTGGCTAACCTGTGACACTTCCCTCTTGCCTCACACATCTAGTCCAATGACAGCTATCCATTTCCTCCGCACTTTCCCACCGCAGGCTCCTCAGTTCTGTCCAGAGGCAGAGTCCTCATTTACATGCAAACCACCTATGGCAGCGGTAATAGGACAGACACCTCACTTCTTGGGTGAAGAGCTTATGTGACCTGGGGGGAGCACAGGGGTTACTCTATGCCTCAGTTTCCTCATCTGTAAAATGGGGATAAGAATAGTACTCATAGAGTTTAATGTAAGAAAAATGCTTAGGATGGTGCCTGGCACACAGAATTCAGCTCCTACTAAAAATCCTGTAACAAAGAGCCTGCCAACTGGTCTCCCTCCAATTTCTCTCTCCATCAAAACATTCGTGGCCAAAGATTTATCTTCTTAAATTACCATTTTGATCACATCACACTTCTGCGCAGCAGTTCCACATTGTACACTGAAAAAGCCCAAACTGCTTAGACCGGGCAATGAGTAATGTCCCTCTTAAGAGAAGCAAGCCACGTCTCTTGCTTTTCTTCCATGCAGTGCCTTCACAAAGCACATCTGGCAACAAAATGCACTCACTCATTGTCTCCCAAGTATTTCCTGCGTTTTCTATGTGTGCCAATTATAGGGCTCAGACACAACTGCAGCCCCCTCCATGGACACTGCTGTGCTCTGTGACATATGCATGCTGTTTCGCATGTGCCTGCTCAAATGGTCAGCATTTACACATGCCCCTACGTAAAAGGCCTGCCCACTGGACCGTAAGCTCCTGGTAGATGGAAAACAGGTTTTCTTTGTGTATGCGGAATAAACGTTAACTGATTTGATAGCAACATTTTCCAAAGACCTTCATGAAAGTGCTTTAATACATTAGATGGCCCCAGGATCATCTTTAAATACTATTCTCACTCTCCACAGCAACAGACCAGAGTACCATTAAAGTAGGCAAATGACTGTCATTCTCAACATCCCCAGAGCCTTTGATTTCCAAACAAGGAAGTGTAACAAAATGATCTTGGAAAGGAAGTATTTGACCTTACATGTTTTCATATCCTTTAAAATTGTTCTTGTGTACTTTTCATTCACCAGTATTACAGAGATGGCTGCCACAGAATCTTCTATATCGGTCCTAAATCTTAATTAGGGACCTGATATCAGTAATTTAAAAATTAACCATTATTCACATATTTATACACTAATGACCTTAGAAAATGCTTACACAAAATTAGACCTATCCATCCTGGTTTATTATATTGAACTTTTATCGCAAGATAAATCTAAAGTTAAAGAATTAAATCCCTACACCAAAAGTCCCCTTACATATAATTTGCTTTAATGAAGCAATTGTGTGCGTGTGTGTACATATATGTATATATCCTTAATAAGCCAATCCTGGTGACGTGGTAGTTATGGCACCAGGATGCTCACCTCAAGGTCAGCATTTTGAAACCACAAGGCACTCCATAGGAGGAAGATGAGGCTTTCTACACTCATAAAGTTGTAGTATCAGAAACGCACAGGGCAATTCTACCCAGTCCCATCAGGTCACTGTGAGTCAGAATAGACCCAAGGGCTGTGAATCTTAAGTTTACTGTGAAATTAAGAACAAGTAGCCTTTCCTTTTATTCATTATTGCCATAAACAAGTTATACTAGCTTTTATCCTACGACTGATTCCAAGGATGTAACTGGTAATCCCACGAGGACGTTTGTTTGTTTGTTTTAGCACACTCAGGAATATAAGGGAAATGAGTTAGGAAATAGCTAAGCAGGAGAAACCTGGCTCCATCGTTTCCTTTGTGAGGTGGCTCGGAGTAAACCATTTGGCTTATCTGTCTGTTTCTCATCTGTAAAATGAGAAGGCCAGTTGGCCTAGGCGATTCTAATATCCCTAGCCAGCTTTAAGATCCTGGGATTCTTACCAAATATAACTGACTACAAGCAGCAATAAACAGACTTGGGACTTTCCCTTAATACGCTAAAGCCTCTGCACATATTTTTCTTCTGACTGGGAAAAAACGTCTAAAGCTACAGGAAAGGCAGTTATTTCTATCCTCACATATGCTTCTGGCACCGGGAAGTCCCCACCGCCTCTCTCTCTCTCTCTCTCTCTCTCTCTCTC